AATTTCCTGCACGTGAAATATTTAGTACATTATGCAGCAATTATCATGAAATTTATTTTTTGTAAAATCTACTACATTTTTTCCTATCCATATTGACAGCTATGGATTTTATATAATTTGATGTACAGTACTCCAAAAAATATCATAGTCCGGAATAACTTTTAATTGATGGGATCTTCACATTCTAGAATTCAATCTCAATAAGTTAGACGATATTTTAAATTACGAAATCAGGCATTAAAATGGACTTTCTCGGAATAAATTTTCGGATTTCTGACACACCCAAAAATATAGGAGGTGACCGCAATTTGGGAAGTATGGTCCCAATAGTTTTCTCAGGAGAGCGCTCCAAAGCTTGGGCCCCTTTGTTTATCCAAAGATAATTCCATGTAAAAAAAAACTTTCAGTAAACATTTATTGTAATTATTTTAATAATGGAATATTCAGAGAAATGGAATTTACTCCCTAATTTTACTTTTTACGTATTTCACCATATCTCGAGCACTTTTTAAACGAATTTCAAAAAAATTGTTCACAATTATGAAATTCGTTTTTTCAAAGATAATTATAGCAAAAAATAAATTTGACTAAAAAATTTTTATTTTATTTAATAATGTTCTAAACATATTTGAATAGTTTACTATTCAAATATGTTAACAATTTTTTACATCTTTTTAGAAAAGTCGTACATTTAAAGTTCAATTTTTCTGGAACTTTCGACCGATTTCGCACAAATTTTGTATTTTGCCATTTAAATTACATTCTTTAAAATCCAAAAAGTGGCATAAAGCATTTTTAAATTTAAAATTTTTCCAACCGTAGTTAAATTGAAAAAAAAAATATTTACTGAAATAAACAAGCAAATCTCCTGACCAAGCTATTTGGACCATATTTCCCAGATTACAGCTACCTCCTATATTTTGGGGGTGAGAAATCCAAATCCTTCAACAAAAGAAAGGTATGTTTATTAAGAGAAAGTACGTTTTTGAGTCTGATTTCGAAACTTCAAATATCGTCTTCATTTATTAATTAGCATATTTGAAGTCACCCCCTCGAGCCCTTAAAATTGAGTTCTCGAACATGATGATCCGATCATTAAATTAAAAGTTATTCAGGGTAGTATCTCTTTTTCTTTTTTTTTAGGCGCACTGTTCTTTATTAAATAGTTACTACAACAATTGTCATAGTTGTGCTGATAAATCACGGAAAACCAAGCGCTGCTATTGTAACAATCATTTCCCTAAAANGGAGGAGAGGGAAGGGAGAAGGGCTAAAGGCATGAAACCGGTCTCTCCCCAGATGGCGTATTCGAGTGTTGCGATCGCGAATAGAGGATGGAAGTACGTTAGTTTCTCTCTAGATTTTCATATAGATAAAAATATTTTAACTTGAAAAACTATATGGAACTGAGAACTACATTAAACATAGTTCTAAACAAAAGCATCATGGTTATTTTAAAAAATATTTTTGTTAAATAAAAAGGAGAAATATTAAGAAAAGGGAAAATATCGTAGTGCATTCCTATACAACTGAAAAGAGGAGGAGAGGGACGGGAGAAGGGCTAAAGGCATGAAACCGGTCTCTCCCCAGATGGCGTATTCGAGTGTTGCGATCGCGAATATTTCCCAGATTACAGCTTCCTCCTATATTTTGGGGGTGAGAAATCCAAATCCTTCAACAAAAGAAAGGTATGTTTATTAAGAGAAAGTACGTTTTTGAGCCTGATTTCGAAACTTCAAATATCGTCTTCATTTATTAATTAGCATATTTGAAGTCACCCCCTCGAGCCCTTAAAATTGAGTTCTCGAACATGATGATCCATGATCCTCGAACATGATGATCATTAAATTAAAAGTTATTCAGGGTAGTATCTCTTTTTTTTTTAGGCGCACTGTTCTTTATTAAATAGTTACTACAACAATTGTCATAGTTGTGCTGATAAATCAGGGAAAACCAAGCGCTGCTATTGTAACAATCATTTCCCTAAAAAAGTTCATTGAAATATTTCACGCTAGAGTTGCACAATGGTCTATTGGCGACTGTATGGGAAACATCCACGAAGATGATCCGAAGAGGTGCCATCACAATTTTGATCCTCTGCAGAAGGGATGGCTCCCCCGCTTTGGTAGCCCGACGACCTGCGCACGAAGGCGAGCATTTTACGGTAGAACAGTTGAACGAGATCAATGCGGAGCACTCTCGGTTTCTACGTAAGCAGATCAAAGTGGTCACCCACCCGCTTTCTGATTGCAGTCAGTGATGCTTGACTTCTGTGTTCTATTGGGAACCATGTCTTTAAGATCAGTTCACTTCGGGATACCCTCAAAATTTTTAAAAGTGGAAAATTATTGGGGACGTGTACCCTGAATGAAGTAATCATCCACCTGGTAGTGAATGACAATTTTCACCCCTTACCTGTTTTAAGGCTATTTACTTTTCTCTTTACCAGCGTGCATTCAAGATGCAGAGTCCAAAATGATACAGCAAAAGCAAGAAGTGCCTGCCGGAGTTAATATATATACGTACATATAATAATAAAATATTGCGTCAAAAAGAAGTGCGCAAAATATCATATCATGTAATATTACACTAAAAACCAATAACGGGTTCAAGAAAACAAAATCTCTAAATGCTTAAAAAAATTCGATGGGAAAATAATACTTATTAAAAACTATGACGCAAAAGCATATTTTATTTTTACATTAGTAAACTATCACAAAAAGAAACTATCAAAAAATTTGACTTCTTTCACCTATGTCCCGCAGTGGACTGATCGTTAAAACACGGTTCCCAGTAGATCACTGAAGTCAAGCATCTCTGACTACGGTCAGTGTGCGGGTGGGTGATCACTTGGATTAGTCTGCGTAGGGAACGAGGGTGTGCGGTATTGGTCCTCGTTAAACTGTTCTACCGTAAAGTGCTCGATTTCGCTTGCAGGTCATCGGGATACAACTATTCCCTCTGCAGAGGATCAAAATTGTGATGACATGTCTTCGGATCATAATCAGGGATGTTTCCCAGACCATCGCCAATAGCCCATTGTGCAGTTCTAGTGCGGCGTAAATGAGCTACAACAACAACTCTTTCATCTATTGTGGCGATGTTTAGAAATTCCATAAAACTTATATTTTAATTATAAAAGGAAAGATAAATTTAGAGAAAGAAAAACCTTTTTTCTTCTCGCTTTCGATATTTGGTGGAAGGAAATTCTCTCGTGTTGTTGTTGTTGTTAATTTACGTCGCACTAGAACTGCACAATGGGCTATTGGCGACGGTCTGGAAAACATCCCGGAGGATGATCCGAAGACATGCCATCACGATTTTGATCCTCTGCGGAGGGGATGGCACCCCCGTTTCGGTAGCCCGACGACCTGCACGCGAATTCGAGCACTTTACGGTAGCACAGTTTAACGAAGGCCCCTGTGCGCGTAAAGTCGAGCACTTTACGGTAGCATACCCTTGGTCCCTACGCAGACTGATCCAAGTGGTCACCCACCCGCACACTGACCGCAGCCAGTGATGCTTGACTTCGGTGATCTGCTGGGAACCGAGTCTTAACGATCAGTCCACTGCGGAACAAATTCTCTCATCTGTTTTCTTCCTTTCTGCTTGGATTACAGTCCCTGTAGTAGCTATAATATTAGCCTTCTACTTGTAACGGGATTCAATTTCCCGTTCTGATCGGACTAATATAATGCCCTGGATGGCATCAGGGCCAAATGAAAAATGTAAAAATGCATGTGTGAAATATAAAACAAACATTCAATGATATTAACCCTTGCCCCTGCTCCAGAAAACTTCATCTCTTGGGAGACAACCCTAGCACCAGGGAGTGTAGAAAGATTTAAATCAGGTGTCACTAGATAGGTTTTTTAAAGCATCAGAAGAGTCTGTTTTTATTTCTGCCCTAGGGCGAGTATTTCTCAAAATTTCCCAATAAACTTAACATCTTTTCTGGACAATCCAAAATTGCAATAAATATAAAAGTTCTTGTTAAAGATTTTGAGTCCAGTCCCAGAGGGTGAGAATACTTACTTTTTCTTTAAAAACCATGTTTAATTCAGTTTTTAGCTCCGTATAGTTTTCTAACTTAAAAGTTTTTAGCCTATTTGAAAAACGAGATAGAAACTAACGTACTTCCTTCTTGTATGACTATACACGCGCTAATCATGAAAACGTGGAAAGTATTAACACAGGAAGAGAGTTTAACTCTACGCCACCTGTAACCCATTTCCATCTCCCAAAATAAATGGTGAATTAAAAATATTGAATTTTCGGAATTCTTTTAAATTATCTGTATAAAGGTAAGATACTATTTCAATTTTCTTAAGGAACATAAAAAGTTGTTGTTGTTGCTAGTTTACGTCGCACTAGAGCTGCACAATGGGCTATTGGCGACGGTCTGGGAAACATCCCGGAGGAGGATCCGAAGACATGCCATCACAATTTTGATCCTCTGCGGAGGGGATGGCACCCCCGCTTCGGTAGCCGACGACCTGCGCGCGAAGTCGAGCACTTTACGATAGCACAGTTTAAGGAGGACCAATACCGCACACCCTCGGTCTCTACACAGACTGATCCAAGTGATCACCCACCCGCACACTGACCGTAGCCAGTGATGCTTGACTTCGGTGATCTGCTGGGAACCATGTTAGGAATATAAAAAGAAAAATGCATTTCAAAATCTAATAATCATTTTTTTTTTTAATAATATGGATAAAATAAATTATAAACTAAAACTAATGAAGAAAGCTGAGCATTTCCATTTTGAGTTTCAAATAATTATAATATAATGAAAATTAATTTAAACTGAAAATTAAGTTTATACTAAAAATATTACAAATTGCAAGAACACAAATTTTAAATTCATATCTCTAGTTTTTTTACTTTTATTATTATTCTTCTTTTAAACCAATTTAATCCAAGAAACGCAATTTTACCGAAAGGACAACCATCAGCGCTACGCAATATTTTTCAAATGTTCCGATTAGAAATATTAATAGAAGTTAAAGTATTTGTCAAAATATTTAGTCTTTTTAAATAGTAGCTACCTCGGTCAGAGTTACTTCATAACCGTAACGTTCGACCATAACCCAAATCTGTTATGTCGGCAAAGGTGTAAAGCGAAAACTGTACAGCATTCAACGTGAGTATTAAGCATATTTATATACTAATTATTCATAATTCCTTTACAATAACTAGGTATAGTTCTTTTTTAGTTATTATTTTATCCGAATATATACTTCATATAATTAAATTGGTTCCCAAAATCTTGATTAAAAGTGATTGTTGTTTTCATGTTTATATGGTATCTCCAGGAATAAGTTAAATTTGTGTTGTTCTTATTAACCTAAAACAGTAAATATTGTTATTTCTTTGACAACTTTAATGCATATATCAAATTTATTAAAATATACCGTTTGTTTTTCTTATTTTGTCTATTTTTTATGATAATTATTTCTTGCTATTTAGATGTATGCCATTGGAGCTAAGATTTTGAAACCCCATAATGAAAAGCCCGATGAATTGGAAAATACAATATCTCAAGTATGTTTTGTTGTTATTAATTTATAAGCTTCCCCAGTGATGAGTATCCTTACCTACATTGAAGTTATTATGAAATAAAATTATATCTCTGATGGGGAAGCCTCTTTTGATTAATTTTTAATAAACTATGTTACCAATTTAAAAGATGTTGAAAAACAGAAATTGTGAGATTTAGTCTTGTTCTCTAATTCTTAAACTTAACTTGTTGTTTACATATTTCAGAGTTGTAATAATTAAAATAATTAGGTTAATTTCCCATTTTTATTATGTATAAATGTTTATGTAAAGCTTAACTTTTATTAATATATCCTTAAATATTGTATGATTTATTGGTTAGTTTAGTCAGTTAGTAATAAATGGTATTAACTCATCTTGGATTTGTTAACTCTATTAGTATTCTAGTGCATTCATAATTGGTGTTACAATATTTCTCTTGCTACTGAATTAGTTTATAAGCAAAAATTGTTCGTAAATTATGGAAATTAATCCTAGATTATGTCATGAGCTAAAGTTACTTAATCGAATTGTTGATCGATATTAATACAATCTCGTTCTCCAGAGAGGATCCAGTTTTGTGTTAAAAATTTCTTACTGATTAAATATTTTCATAAAATTTGTAATCTACAGTTCTACATTAAGTTACGGATAAATTAAATTGATTGTAATTCATTGATGCTTTATTAGTCTTTAACATGCTTTACTCTGCTCCATAGGCTCTTCTAGAGCTTGAATTAAACAGCGATTTGAAAGCTCAACTGCGAGAATTGTACATAGTTGGTGCTAAAGAAGTTGATGTGGATGGAAAAAAGGTATGTTAGATTTTTATTCTGTATTTATTTTAATTGCTCTTTGCTCTAAATTTTTCTTTTAAGTTTTCTAACATAAATTTTTTTTTAGATGTCTGATATAAAAGTGCATATGAGATGTAAATTGATAAGATGTTAGTAAAAATACATATTCCTATCACTGTTAGTTCCGATATACTTTATACTCTTTTGGGCAGAGTTTCAAAAGCTGCAAATCTATTTAGCAGTGTTATCACTACAGCTCGAGAATCTCGCCTATTTTTTTCTTTTGTCGCAATAAAAAAAAACTAAATTACAAAATTCAATTTTGGAATAAATTTCGTCTTTTGCCACTATATATAAAATACGTTTAACTTTTCTTCCTTAAACTTTCATTAATTTGAACATCGGTCCTTGTTATCTAGCTTCCCTATTTATCAGTATTGTTCATAGCTGTTGCGAACAGCAGAGCACCAACCGAACCACGGAACACATTTCTCTGCGACCGCGTGTTCACCGTAGGTAAGGTTTCTTCGTGTAAGACGTTTACATTTTCTTTGCATGAACGTAACAGACAAATGAAACAAATGTCGGAAGAAACGGTCAAAGCAAATACGGATATTTTTCAGCCAAATAAATATAATAGCCGATGAAAAAGTAGATATAGAGCGTTTTCCATATAATGATGCAGCAAAAAAATTCAATTAGAAGATGCGAATATTATAATTACAGAAATAATTTTTTATCTAGTCTATTCCTATTGATTGTTACAATTCTCATTGAAAATTTACTGTGGTGATGTAGATTTTTTTGCTGATACATTTGCTTGAATGTAGTTAAAGTTAGTCCAAATCTAGAAGTCTCATTTGATTCCATTGGCAGTTATATGTATATTTTAAATTTTCTAAGAGATCAAATTATGTTTTTTCAAACTTTGTGTATCAAATTTGTGCATGGTAGCTCTGTATAGGATCTATAACATTAATTCCCTAGAATATGTTTATTTCTTATATTTACGGAAATCTTTAATCAGCTGAGTTAAGCATCTTTCATATCTATCTGAAGGCCTGGTTTCTTAGGACAGGACGCCGTCAGCTGGAAATCAGCGCTAACCTCTGATTGGTCCATTTGTGAGTTTCATAGTGTACGTCATCGAACGCTCATCTTGAACTTGATGACGTATACTATCAAATTCACAAATGGACCAATCAGAGGTTAGCGCTGATTTCCAGCTGATGACGTCCTGTCCTATGAAACCAGGCCTTGATGTATATATATTCAGTCTATGAACTTTCTTACATTAAGGAAACTAATGTATTTCCCTCTATTTAATCTTTGATGACGAAATATGATGTTCTTGTGTCTGGTTTGGACGGGAGCAGTTGTTACACATTAACAGATTCATTTAGGGGGGGAATTTAGTGTTACTAAAAAAAATACACCTCTTAATTGAAGGTTTGTCTTTCTTGAATAATCAAGTGAAAAAAATAATTTTTTACCCTTTTTTTCTATCAATTGACAAGTTTTTCATATTCGCATGATTTAAGTCATTTATTACCCTTATTGTGATAAGTGACTTATATATTATACATTGAAAATCGTATTCACATGAATTTTAAAATCTGATGTCAAAACTTTTATGAATGTAATAAAATCAAATATCAAAATTTGTATTCATGTAATTTAAATAAATTGAATTTTGCATTGATATAGATTATCTGCCGTGTAAATCTAGCATGAAGCTTGTTGTTTGAAACTAAAGAGAAGTGTTTTAATTTTATTATGGAAATCGAGAATTTAGGGTAAATCTAATAAAGTCTATTTAAATGAAAAATTTGGTTCTTTTAACCAGTGACTATATTCTTAACTTCTACCTCTTCATTGTACCAGCTCTTAAACTGGTGTAATTAAAAGGTTTTAAAAATTCTTTTCTGTTGCTTTAGATTTTTATTAAAAGTGTGTAGACCAGTATTTAATATTTGAAGAGCTTAGTGGTATAGCTGGTTAAGTGACATGTATGGAGAGAAAAAACTGGGGTTCCTCGAGGAAAGCTCTTACTTTAGCTTCATTTAATTATATGATATTTATTTTGCTAAATCTGTTGAATCCGGAGATACTCACTTGAAGGATTAGTTAAGCGACTTAACAGCAAATAGTTATAAATAAGCCTAGAAAATCTCTTGCTTGGCATTAAGCACTAAGCTACGGGGAGTAAGAAATATTTGGATCTGCAGCTAAGAAAAGCAGCTATAAATTAAAAAATTGCTAAATTCTTGCCGTGATATCAAGCAATCTCTCTTTATTGGAGTTGGAATAAAATTAACAGACCCCAAAAATTTATGACAAACTTGCTTCTCAAACATGCTTAAAGCATAGATTGAAGGGAAATGCAAAAAGGAGGAGTAAATAAATGTTAGCACTTGTTTGCTCAAATTCGCTAAAGTGTCAATTCCACTAGTTCTTCCACTAAGCTCTTCATTTGTTGTACTTTTTTTATATTCTGAACAATGATGTTTCAATACTTTCGTTCTCCTGAAATGCTTGTGTAGAGTATTATATTATCTGAGTTCAAAGACTTCTTTAGCAAATTTATTTTTAATTTTAGCTTATTTTTTAAACCACCACTTTTGTTCTCCAGAACTGGCTGTTGAGAACATTATAATCTGAATGTGTGTCATTCATTGTTTTTTCTTCCCTTCCATGTCAACCACTTCTCTTTAACCATGATGTTTAACACTTTCGTTCTCCTGAATTGATTATGTAGAACTATGTCATCTGAGTAAAAGAAAGATTTGCTATTTCTTGTTCTGATTTCTGATTCAGAATGATGATATTTGAAACCTGAATCACGTGATTATACTAATAGGGACGTAATTCTGATTGCAAATTTTTATGAATAACTCTTTATTTTAAGCTATTGAATATTTTGCAGCTTGCTATGATGATCTATACATTCTGATATCTATGATTATTCATTATGGGACGTAATTCTGAAAGCAAGCTTATATGTTGTGATAGTGGTTAAGAAGCTAGAACCTCTGTTTTCTCAGCTAATTAGGGTTTTCAAAGTTTTTTGGCTTGATATCTCCCAACCTAATTAATTCTGGTAAAATAATCTTAGTGTGTGTCCTTTATTACGGTTTTCTTTATTTTTTCTCCCTTATCAACCACATCTTTTTTACCATGATGCTTAACACTTTCGTTCTCCTGAATTGATTATGTAGATAACTATGTCAACTGAGTAAAAAAGATTTGTTATTTCTTGTTATGTTTGCTCATTCAGTCTACTAATTCAAAGTGATATATTTAAACCTGAATGACGTTATGTAAATTGGGACATAATTCTGGTTACATTTTTTTATAAATGACTATTTAAAGTTATTAAATATTCTGCTGCTTGCAATGATGATCTATTCATTCTGATATCCATGATTATGCATTATGGGACGTAATTCTGAATGCAAGCTTATGTATTCTGGTTTCAAAGTTAAGTATGCTAGAATCTCTGTTTTCTTAGCTAGCTAATTAGTTGTCCAAGTTTTTGGCTTGGTATGTACTAACCTAATTGGTTCTGGTGAATTTGATTGTGCGTGAACACAAGCTTATTCCGAAATATAGGTGATTCTTGTCGTTTTAAAATCATTTCATTTCCATAGACTCATTTTCCAGATCTAGGGCTTGTAATGATGTCAGTACTTTCTGATATTTATGATTATACATTATGGGACGTAATTCTGAAAGCAAGCGATAAAGAAAATATTAGACTGCTCCAAATAATATACTGTCTGATTTGCGTGAATTGTAGATTTGTGCCTATGATACTTCTGATGAAATTTAACTCTTTCTTAAAATTGTTCTCTACTAACTTAAAGTATTAAAAATAAGTGTTTACTAGACTTTATCACAAAGAAACTATTTTTCGGTTGTATTATTTCATAATAGTCGAAAGTGTGCAATTTTACATTGCAAAATTGGTCAGTTTGCGAGATCTAATTTTAAAGACTTTTCAGCAACTATTCTGTCGATTTCAATCAAATTTTGTATTTTGCCATGTAAAAATGCACACATTAAAATTGTGTGTACTTTACAATTCTAATTTTTTTTTTTTACTAAGTAAAAAAATTTCCCTTCGCTTGAAAAGTTTAAAAAGTAACAAAGGTATGATATTGGGGCTCAAACTTATGCTCACTTTCCTGACCAAACCATTCGGACCATATATCCTAGGTGGGGCTACCCCCTATATTGGTTGAGGCAGAATATGAATCTGTTGTAAAAGAGGTATGTAGAGAAAATACGTTTTTGTGATTTTGTAGCTTAAAATGTCATCCACTAAATACCTCAAACCATCGTCCTTCAGTCCATTTTTTCCCCTTATTTCCAGTGTTATACTTTTTTTGCACACTGTACATATATTGTGAGGAAAAGCTTTAAAATACTTTAATTTGAGGGGTTTGCAACATGCCTACCTGCCAAGTCTCCTGTTTTTTAACGAATACCCCTGTATTTTATCTCTTGTTTACCTGTGTATTTTCAAATTTCTCCATATTTGTTGAAGAAATTATAAAATAAAAAAACATTAACGATAAAATATACACTTGCAGAAGTGCTTATTCTTCAACAGATTGCCAGTACTGCAGTATGTTGAGTGTTTATAGTTTGAGTAATTATAAATAACGGTTTTAAAAAATCTCTTAGGTTAAGATTTATATACATATTTTTTATTTCGTTAAATGTAAATGCTTATATTTTGAATTTCTCTTTTTGACTCTTGTGATTATGCATGATGTATTAAAGCAGTGTTTCTTAACCTTTTCGGTATAATGGACCACTTTTAAAAAATTTTAAGAAGTCATGGACCCACCCCCCTATGAAAAAAATAATTGCCAAAACATCAATTATTAGAAAACATTTAATTTTATTATTTTAATAGTATATAACATTTTTAATATTAAAATTTTTAATGTGAAGGTTGCTGCTGATTTTCCTTGATTAATAAATTGAATTGGGAGATGGCTTTCGACAAAACAACGCTCGTATCATGCTCAACATATAATTGATTTCGATGTTTCGTTTTTATTGTTGAATGGAAAATCACGCTTTGCAAAGATACAATGTAGCAAACGGAATTATAGCTACCATAGCTCGCTTTACAAGCAATGGGTAGGCTTCGAAACGTTTTAAAAATTAGGAGTAGTCAGCGAACCCCCAAAATAAGACTCATGGACCCCTTAGGGGTCCATGAACCACAGGTTAAGAAACCCTGTATTAAAGCTTAACTCATAACCGAAAAAATGTCTCGTAAAATCCCCGTTATTTTATTTCTCCAATGTTGGCAGATAGTTTCACTTGCTTTTTTTTAATTTGCTTATTTTTGTCCTCTGCAGGCTTTAGTTATTTCTGTCCCCGTCCCTCAATTAAAATCCTTTCAAAAAATTCAAGCTAGACTTGTAAGAGAACTGGAAAAGAAATTCAGTGGCAAACATGTTGTCTTTATTGCTCGAAGAACAATTCTGCCTAAACCCACAAGGAAAATGAAGGTGAAGAATAAGCAAAAGAGGCCCAGGAGGTATGATATCAATCACTGCTCTCCCCCTATTAAATCAAAAGTTTCAGAATATTTATTGAATATTTTGTTTTTCAGCCGTACTCTTACTGCTGTTCATGACGCCATTCTTGAAGATCTAGTATTCCCTGCTGAAATAGTAGGCAAAAGGATAAGGGTGCGTTTAGATGGATCTAGACTAATGAAAGTACATTTAGATAAAACACAGCAGACTAATATAGAACATAAAGTAAGTTTTTTTATCTGCTAGTTTCAATTTTAATGTACAGTTGTTATTTTTCCCTACAATATGATTGCGGGGTTGCCACAGGCGACTAAAATGCAACTTTTTTCAGCGTGAGGAGACTATGGCAACTTTTTGTCCCTGAAGAGACTAAAAAAAGCAACTATTTTCAGGAAAAGGACTTTTCTGTACTCCTAGCATTGTTTTTTTTAACATAATTGGGTTGAAAACCTGCAGCCTGCGAATTTTTGCTCTTATTTAGGCAACTATTTTCATGCTTTAAGCTACTAAAAGCTACTATTTTGTTAATTTTTTTCTGTGGCATCCCTGGATTAGCATATTACAGGGATAACATTTTTTAGTAATTGTATTTTGGTTTAAAAGGTTAAATATAACACTTAAATGAATACGGATTTAGATAAGTACCTTTGAAACTTAGTAATTATTTCTTAGTAACTGAACTATAATAATCAATAATAGAGAGCATTTTTATTTTTAATGAGTTTCCTCATTTGACTTAATCATTCGCATCCTATTTTATTTGTTCAATGGATTATTTGAAGTTATGCTGTATGTGATGCATAAACTCAGAGGTCATTTACATTCATGATATATGCTCTGCTAGATAGTATCTGATCAGCTGCTTTTTTATTTCATCTATGGAATATCAGGGTTGCCATTCCACATGGAGAACAGGGAATTTAAAAATTACCTAAAATAACAGGGAATTTAGATTTTTTCGTTACAAATTAGGAAAATACAGGTAATTTTTTTTTAAAAAAAACCACTCAAATCGTTATCTATGGGATATTTAACCATGATATTTCAGCTATACTGAACTATTTCATTTACCATAGCATTATTTGTGAAAGTTCAGCTGTGTTTCCAGCAATTGAAACTAATAAGTATAGTTAGCCCAATATAGCTCACACAAGAGCACACTAATTGTTGTTTCCTCTTAATATAATAACATGTACAAGGAATTTTTTTTTCTCCAGATTTGAGTGGCAACCCTGAATATTTTCATTAAAGGTGCTGTATGCTTTAATTTATGGTTTTTGATGATGATATCAATCCAACTCTGATTTTTTTTCTGAGGATAGCTATATCTGATTTCAATTACTGTACAGTAAGATAGTCGAAAAGTTGTTTAATTGTCTATAATTTAGGAATAATTGTGTGGGGAATTGTGCTGAGTTAGAAATCAGTATCCATGATGAGAAAACAATCCAACTCTTATGAAGTTATGCTGAAAATGTTATCTGATCTCTTGTTAAATAGTAATCATAGTAAAAAGAAATTCAATGCTCATTTTCTTATTGCGTCTTTCATTCCAGTTCTTATACTAATCGTGAGTGTATTATAACTATTTAATGTGCAGTTTCGCAGCCTTTTTAATTAAAGGTCTCGTGCCGAAGTATCTAGGCATATAGATAGCTATTGTGGTGGTTTTTATCTATACATCAGTGTTTTAGTCACTTAATACTTTTAACTATTAAAATTCTTATACAGCTGAGGAAACCAAGCTAATGCTTTTCAAACATATATCAGGGTGCATAGCGTTTGTAAAAAGTACTTAAAGGTGCTTTTTGGGAGATTTCATTTTTAAAAGCTTTTAAAGGTGCTTTTTTCAGCTGCCGTTTTTAAAAAGTGCTATTTTTTTCACGAATAATTTTTTTTTCCCTTCAGTGATATCTGGCGGATCCCCTGCATTTCACGAAAAATGGGGTGTTTGCTACGTAATCATTCACACGGACTTCATGTGGTACCCACGTTATGACTTGCGCATGCGCGCACACTCGAAACTGAAACCCGAGTGCTCCAATTCGGATAGAGTCAGATCCTTATTAAATGTTTTTCTTTTTAATTTATAATTTTATTCTTGTTTATTTTATTTTACTTCTAACACTTTTTTGATGTAGGGGGTAAGGGTACTTTTGTTCTGAGTTCAGAGTCAAGTTGAATTCACTTGGTGATGTGGGAAAGTACTGATTGTTTCGATTTGAGTTTTCTTTTTGAGTTTTTTTTTTTTTTTTTAATGCTAAAACTGTTCATAAAAAGTTTTTGTTTTTCAATAATATCATTGATTCAATATGAATTTTTTGAGTGCTTGAAAAGTTTTTAAAAAGTGCTTATTTTTTATTCAAAAATTTGGCTACGCACCCTGTATATATCCTTATAAAGAAAATTTTATCAAATGTTTTTTTATGATCCTTTAATTCAAAAGTTCATTTTACAAAATGAGTTAAATGCTGTGCTCATGGAATTGAAATTAAAGAAATAGTTTAGATGAATTTTATTCAGGCTAATTTGAGAACTCTTTTATCGAGTTGAAATTTTTTGCCTTCTGTTCCATTCATGACTAGTTTATAAACGTGATGAATAAAAAGAAAATGAATTCTGTGAGTAAATTGAACTCTCTCACTGATGTTTATTTCCTCTAAATCTATTTTCATCCGTATCCCATTTATGTATTTGAAATTACTGCGAATGTATTACCCTGAGTTTTTTTAGTATCATGTACAGAAACTATATGATGTGAAGAAAAATTCTAATAGAATCATGTTCAAATGATGAGGAATAAATTATGAAATATATGAATAAATAGAACTCTCTCACTGATGTTAAATCTCATGGTTCTTTAGTATTTGCTCAAGTGATAAACAAGATTCTATCCTCAAATAAAATTTAATTTGAAATTTAGTTTATTTTTATGACTGCAAATGATGAAAAGGAGAATATGAAACCTATGAATAAATAGAACTCTCTCACTGATGTTAAATGTGGAGAATTTTTTAGTGTCCTGAATTAGCATGCAGTATGATGATAATGAGCAAGCTCTGGTCAAGGGAACTCTGTTGTAATTATTTATTACAACAGAGTATTATTGTATGTTGAACCGAAATTTCAGATGATTTTTATTGTTTTTCTCTTTGCACTTTTGTTACTTTTTAATTCTTTTTATGGTTCTAATTGTTTCATATATTGTCAAAGTGATTTTTTTAAAATATGAAGTTTACAGAATACAAAAAGTATAATTTCCCAGAGCCTGTTTTCTTCTTTGATAGAGTAGTTATGTTATAAATAAATTCTCTCACTAGCATCTTCAATTCTCTGATATCCTGGACAGAACTGAATGTGTAGTTTATATTTGTTTGTTATTATTGAATTAATTATGTAATGATAATGCAAATGATGATAGATCAATTATGAAGTTGATGAATAAATAGAACTCTCTCACTGATGTTATCTTTTCTAATATCTGGAATTCAGCTGAATATACAAATAAAAATTCGTATTTTTTTGTAATTTTTCGATGTGATGTTTAATCAAATGATAATAGATAATTATGAAGTTGGTGATTCTCTCACTGATGTTATCTTACCAGTAATTCACTATTAACCTAAATTATATCCTACTGAAGCTGGGTGTTTATTTGTAATTATTGGATTACGTTATGTTTATGCAAATGATGAGAAAAAAATTATGAAGTTGATGAATAAAAAGAACTCTCTCACTGATGCAATATAAACAGTGTACTGTAAATTTGTCTTTTTTTTTTTTTTTTTTTTTTTTTTTTTTTTTTTTTCACTTAAAATTTTCTAGTCTTTGGTAGGTGCCTAAGGTATTTTTTTCTCACGTCAAAATCTCCTTTTATTTATTTATAAGTTTCTAAACAAATCTTAAGATATTTATGATATACATGTGATGAGTAAAGCCCGGAATTTCAGGCAATAAAAAATGCAAAAATAGGCAGGCAAAAAGGCATTTAAAAAGCTTGAAATAGGCACTTAAAAAAGGCACTTAAAATTGGAGCAAANATATACTAGTGATGAGACTACAGTTTTGAATCATGTGAAATAACAGAACTCTCTCACTGATGTGTACATTAGTAGTCCGATTATTTATAAAAGGCATAATGCTGAGTTCACATTCTTAAAAAGTTTATATCTGTTATTGCATGTTATGAAGTTTTTGTGTTAAATGTTTTCTTTTTTTTATTTTCAGACTGATACGTTTGCTGCTGTTTATAAGAAGCTCACTGGCAAAGAGGTTACATTCGAATTTCCTGAGCCATTGTTCTAACTGAACTTGTAAATCTACTTTAAAATTAAAAAATATCGAGAAAGACAATAGTAGTTTTTTATGCTTGTTACTTTTCTTTATGTATGTATGTTTTGTATTAATATAAAAAATATTGGGTATAATTTTTTTAAAAATATAATTGAAACAGCACTTTTATTTGACACTTGGGTGTATAGTTATAGTTAAATGGATAGATTTTGTCCTCACTTGTCAATCTTTAAAATATTTTTTTTCTTACAGAATTATTAAATGACAATGAGTTTTAAATTAATAACTAACTTTACATTCTTAATTTTGTTGACAGCATCTAAGTACCTTTATCATTTTCATAATGCATATGACTTTTTTTATTCGAATTACTAAAGGGTTGACTCACTGACATTATAGACATTGATTTTACCTGAATGGGTCATTCTCAGTGTTGCCAGGTGCCGATAATCGTTTACCACCAGATAGCGTTGTAAAAACCCCCAAAATTTTTAGCTTGATGTATAAAAAATACCACAAAAGTTAAATCATGTATAGAAAACGTTGCTTTAATACTTCTTAATATTTTATTATCTACAAATTAATAATATGCTGATAATTAAAAAAAGGGATGAACAATTGTACTATTAATTAACCTTTAAACTGCTTTTCATATTCCCAATCTTTCTTGCACTTTTGTTCGTACTTTTTTTTTCTTTATCCTTTGGCATTATTTTTGAACCATGCACATTAAAATGTTTTAATAATTTGAATTCAAATTCACCAAACGCGCAGGTTGATCGAAAAAAGTAATAACTTACTACATAAGTTCTAAGATTAAATCTTAATCTTTTTTGTTTTGGTTTAACATATTGATTTTCATATAACCATCTCACACATTCAGTTATATTATTTGATGTTAGAACGTAACCAAAATGAAACTAGTAAAATTCACAAATAACCCTAACACTGAATCTAAAAAAATCCTTCTAAATTTAGGGGGAAAACCCCTAATCTGACAACACTGGTCATTCTTTTAAAAATATATGTATCTTCTTTTTTTCTTGAGAAGTTAGGAACTTTTCCTTAATTAACTTAGTTAATAAAATGACTAAAGTGTCTTAGACGCAATTACTAAATGTCCTGGAAAACACTAACCAATTATGTAATTGTCCCGGTTCCATTCAGTTTGTAAATCGTGATTTATTAAGACTAGCTTTATATTTAAAGTTATTTCATAAAGTGTTTTGAGTGGTCTCATTCTTCTTAAATTTTGTAGAGAAGTTATGGCGTGATTAAAAAAAAATTTAATACTGCTAGTTTTTAAAAGAAGTATGATACATTGTTTCTGATGTCAAACTGATATTTAATGTGTAAAAAGAATGCTTTTCAACCCATTCTAGCATATATGTCGTGAGCTAGCGCTTTGTAAATTTCCTATGCCGTTGAAAGATTATCGCCCTGAGCGTCGTTGACGAATTGCTAAGTAGAGAGCTGGGTATTAGCTTATGGCATAGACATGTGGTAGTGGAGTGACTTGGTTTTGATCTCATTTTATGTATCAATATGGTATAAGTTAGACAAGTTATGAAAGTTTTGTCACAGTGCAGATTTTGATCCAATTTTACTTAATATTTTAGAAGACCACAAGACATCTCCATTTCAAGGATGGGTGGGTAATGAGCCACAGTGGCTTAAGGCATTGCTCCCCAAACTTTTTATAGTTAATAATAATTTTACCGCGGCAGCGGATGTTTCTATATATGTTAGATAGTTTTGATTTACTAATTTAAACATGCCTTCAAAACAAAATGCAGTTATAGTTTGTCTATGGTAAGAACTTCTCCCGCCACTAAGTCAGGCGCCTGCTGCTATGGAAACAAGGATAGCTCATTCCAGGGAGGTTCTCACTTCTCTTCATTCTGCGGCTAACACAATAGACTGAAGAAAAAGATTTAGCCGATCAGAGCCACAACCCTACTTGAAATAGTTTTACCGTAGTCACCGCCACGAGTCAAGGCGCATGGCTAGTTAGGAGAATTCTTACTTTTGACAAAATACATTCCCAGTGTGTGTTTATCTAAGATAACTTCTCGTCCGTAGTAAGTCGCACAAACCCGAGATAAATACGCAGTAAATAAAGTGGAAATTTAAATGTTCCTTAGCTGACTCGGTGCTATATGATTCACCGTCCGAGGGTTGGGAATCACTAGGCACTCTGGCTAATCGAAACGCCTCCAGCACTAATTTAGTAAGGCAAGGTTTCTCGTATTGTTTTTTACTCTAAACCAGTGGGGCCCACGCCCCACTGGGGGGCAATTCGAAAATGGACTCGACAAGAGTTTTACCCATTTGCTCCGGGACATTTAAATACAATGCTAGATCTCGGTGCCAAAATTGAAAGAAGAAAAACAAATTTTTAAATAATGGCGGTCAATAAATATTATAAATTCGTTTGATGAGACAAAAATATCAACTGGGTTTTTGGCGTCGTCAAGTTAACTAACCTCCCTGCGGCACATGGCGGCTCCGCGTAGACCCCTTGACGATTTAAAATTTCGCTAAACTATGCAGTTGTTCGCATCTGAATGGCCCGTCGCAACATTCAGTGATAGAAATCAATACCATAGTATGTATTTAGGCATAGTATGTAAAGGGCATTTTGTTAAAGAAATGTTCGGTAAAAGATTAGAAAGCACCACTACCTCCAAAGATATTATATAATAAGCTTGAAAAAACTACTTAGATGTTAATATATACCAATGAAAAATATAACATCTTGTGCTACAGATGGTGCTCCTAATATGATGAGCAAGAAAAATTGCTACTTAAAATTGATGATAGATGAGAATTCAAAAATGATTCTTGTGCATTGTGTTATTGCATAGGGAAAACTTGGTAGCTAAAAACATCTCGCCTGTTCTAAATGAAGTACTTACATTCACTAATAAAGTGTATGAATGCTATTAAAGCTAATACCAAATGTGAGCGCCTTTTCAAGCTGTTTTATGAAGAACAAAATGCAAACCGTGTGAGACTTTTACTTTCCTCTGAAGTAAGATGGGTCTCTAAAGGGAACTGCTTGAAAAGATTCATGGAACTGTTTGATACTCTTAGTAATTTTTTATGCGACAAACCTGATAGGAACTATCTGTTGACAGTCGAAGGTAAAGTATTTGTAAGTTAATTAGCCGATATCTCTGAAAAACTAAATATATTAACTAAGCAACTTCAAGGAACAAGTAAAACTCTTGTTGATACAAAAACGAAGATATTTGGCTTCATTGCCCTTATTGAGTTAAGTCTGAAAACAAAACCTTGGATCAGTTTAATTGTCCCCAAAAATTAAAAGTAAATCATGTCGCTTTACTTGATATTGTCGATCGTCTGAAAATTCTATCGGCTGATATAAAAGAAAGATTTTCTGATTTAAAACAAATAGATTTTTCAACACGGATGATGCAGCCAATGTTAGTGCATTTGTCTGTTATATGAAATATGCAGTGTCAAGAAGAACTCTCAGAAATGCTAAATGATAAGTCAGTTAAAACTTTATTTTCATATAAAAGGAGTGATGGCATGGCTTTGTGAGGAAACAGAAATCAAATACCCAAATATGCAAGAAAACTATTGTTACCGTTTCCATCTTCATATTTAGCTGAATGTGGATTTAGTGCTGTAAATGATTTACTGGTAAGAAAAAAAAGAAAGGGAAATCGCCTGGATATAACACAGTGGGTAGACTTGAGGCTGCAAGCTAACCAAATTGGAAACTAACATAAAATCTCTGTGCAGCAAGCGCAAGGATCTCTCCATATTAAATTATTATAGAAAATTCTTTATGAACATTATTTCGAATTTGAATTTTAGTTTCTCATTATAAGTCGAAATTTTACTTACTGTGTTTCGTCAACAATTTACTAGAGATTTCTCACTGAAACCTATCATTTAAGTTTCTTAGGTGAACAAGGAGGACATAAGAATTTTAGAAAGGCTTGAGTGGGGCATGGCACAAAAAAGGTTGGGAAACACTGCTCTAAACCCAGTAAAATCAAGATAATGTTGCTAGAACAGATAGTTTCGAATTCATAGTAGATGTAAAACCCTCGTGATTTTAGTTTCAAAACGAATAGTTCTATTGAGTTAATTCGATTCCCCACCAGCAGCTTCTAGTCCCAGTCACCTATCCTGCACGACAAAAGGATACTCCTTTCATACACCACAATATAATTAAGCGACCTATACTTTTATTATAAATAAGAATTCAGTAGTTATTGATGGCTTATTTGGGTTTGGGGGCAGTTCAAATGTTACAAGGGATCTTGCACTGTTGCTTAGGTTAACAGGTCGCAATACCCCCCTTGCACTTTTTCATAAAATTAGTTATAATCAGTTACATTTAATTACCGATTTGATGTTTCAAAAATGTATGGTTTATTTATTAAATTAATTTTAAGAAAAGAAATATTTATCATCACGTGAGCCGCTTTTCGAGAACAGATGTTTTCGAAAATTTCATTTGCAATAGACTTAGTTTTTTTTTTCAGGCAGCAGTGCCATCTATTTTCGAACTTTGTAAAGTTAAAATTTAGTGGGGGCAAATTTATATTTTCTAAGCAGAGCGTATCAACGCTTACGAAAAATCTTCCGTGATCTTCGTTTCGTTCTGTAGAACAATTTTGGAGTAAGCTTTTACGTTTGCTGCGGATAATTGAAGTTCAGCTAAAATCTAAGAATTATGTGTTTTAAAAATATGTATACAAACTGAATTCAATCAATCTTTTTAAAAAAATTTATTACGTTTTTAAGTTATGTTTTGTTCTTAATCCAGTCAATGAAGCTCGAAACTCTGGTGTAAATTCCTGGATAACCGGGCTCACCACAGCTGTATCCAGAAGAAACTATACCGACCAAGGAGTATGGTATACTTGGATGAAAGTCTCGTAGGTTTTTGTCGTTATCTTTAAGCATCAATGGTCCCCCGGAATCGCTCTAAAAATAAAATCTTGTTATATTATTTGAAAATGTTAATTGCAGTTAGGCGATTTTATTTACTGCCCGAAAGTCCCATATATTTGAACTTCTCAAATGCTTGTCCTATAGTATAAATCCCGTAGGCTGAGAAAAATTCTAAATACAGTGAACTTGGCAGTTTTCAAAGAGCTAGATTTTCTTATTAGCCAATGACTGCTAGCTGTGCGTATCAGCAGTTTTCAAAGTGCAGGGTTTTCCAACTAGCCTACGACAGATACCAATGGATAGATATTTCAAATTGGGTTTATTATTCTTTCACAAATACTATGTAGCTAATTTCATAGTGCCTCACTTATCGCTGAACTCCAGTTTTGCCAAACAAAAATGTCAAAAAGAATTAGTTATTTTTATGGCAAAAGGTTTGCCTTAAAACTGACGAGCAATGAGGTTCAAAATAAATATTTCTAGCCTTTTTAACCATGGACTACTCACGAAAGCTGGGCAATATTCACAATTTTTTCCCATACTGGAGTGTTATAAGCGAAGTAATTAATTAGCAATACAGATAACGGTACCGTTCGCTGATGTTTTATTTTAATTTATAATTTTAAAAAAAACTGATGTCTATTATAAGTTAAAAAGACACTTCTGCACTCACGTTATTTGAATGAGAAGTGAGTGCAAAAGTGTCGTTTTAACTTTGAACCAGCGATGCGTCTTTTAATTAACTGATGTCATAAACAGCAAAAGACGTATGTTGTCCATTATGTCATTACAATGAAATTACATTTATTTTGAGTTAATTAAAAATATGCGTTTATACCAAAAATTATTTCGTATTGTAAAAGTATTTCCTATATGTAAATTTTAAATGAAAAGCCTTTTTTTTCCTGATAAAAAAAAATTCTGCATTTAATAAAAATGTGATCCAGAATTTCATCAAGTCTGGGATTTTAGTTTTATACATATATTTACATGATTAACATAAGGACAAAAATAATTTAAGAAAAAGAGATTAACGAAGAAAATTAAGATATATATACATCGTCTTGCATAACAAATACTTACTGTTATGCAGAATGAAAGTTTTAATGATTAAATTTCCGTTTTTGGAATATTAATTTCGTAATAAGTATAGAAAATTTAAAGATAAAGTTCACTACAAAAATTGTTACCTGACAAGCATCCTTTCCACCTTCTGGCAATCCTGCACAAATAAACTCATCAGTTATTCCATGCGGTAGGACATTGACAATCTTTGATTTGTATCTTTTTTGGCATTCTTCATTTGATACTACTGGTAATCCTTCCACTATGTGCAAAACAGAAGTACCTCTGCCACCTGAAAAAAACCGAAATGAGAATGTAATTTTTATGATAAGTCCGTTTTCAAAAAGAATATAACTAATTGAATAGACATATTTTTATAAGTATAATACCCAGAAAGCATGTAACCTTATGGCAACGTTGTGTCTTAATTTTCATTTTATTCTCACGAAAATTTTTGTACTTTTTAGTACAAAAATTTTCGTGAGAATAAAGCTTTTTTCAATACAGCAAAAATATTGCAGTTTCGAACCTTTCATTATAAAAGGAATAAAAATTATTTTTTAAAGCTTTTCTAAAAAGGATTGTCACTTTGGGTAGCTGAGCATACAAGATGTTGCGAAAAGAAACATAATTACCTAGATTTAAGATTATTATCTCCTTAAGACTAGCTTTATTCAAGGATTTTTTCACGCTTGAAAACCCTAAGACAACCTCAATTTTCAGGTTTTTATATAGACGGTTGTTCTCCAATGTTTTGGATTAGGGTAATGTGTGTAGAATGAGCAGATCTCGTTTAAAGGTTAGAAGGTTTACACGTAAACCGCATAAAAACACTTTTAGGTTTACATTAAAAGTTTTTTGCTGAGTGAAAATAAACCTTATTTTACTATCTGGGATATTATTCCGTATCGAAGAGATCGCGAAAATCTTATTACAACAGTACCTGCATTGGATACCTATATATGTATTGTATTAATAGGGTTTAGGGTAGATACCTATGGGGTGATTCAGAACTATTGTTCAAAAGTGGACTTTAAGAAAAGATCAGAAGCATGATAACAAGCTAGAATCATATCATATGGTAAAATTCAAACTATCTCGTGGCCACATCGTTCACTAGATCTGTTCCCAAAAGATTTTTTTTTTTCTTTTTTGGGATGCATGAAACCTCTGGGAAATTGGACAGGGATTTGATGGCACACATCGGTGTAGCACCCACTTTAAAACTTCTTTTCAAAACTTAGTGAGTGAACTCGATTTTGCATCGTAAAATAATATTTTGTCACCTGTTTCACATTTTTTTTAATCTCTGGCTTTGTGAAGTGCTTAATGTTTTCTACCTTAACAGGCATATGATTCTTCGTGGAATTCGGCGAATCTTAAAACCGTTGATTCGCGGACTTCCGAGAATCAAAAATTTATATTCCGACAAATTTTTAATCTAAAATTTAAATTTCATAACTTGTACAAAAAAATTTTATCGAGACATTTATTCCGCCCTTACCAGCACTCTCTTTTCTTTTTCTTTCTGTGTTCTTATTCAGGCGCCATGCATTTTTTACGAAGAATTGTTAAAGAATAATGCAATTTCGGGAACACGAGACAGAAGAAGAGGGAAAAAAAACAGTTTCAAAAAATTCAAACCTGCCTCGAATTTTTTCCCGTTAATCAGTTCCTGAAAATAAGGTATTAAATTCAAAAAAGGAATTTCAGCTGTTATATAACAATACAACATCCTTATATTTTAATAAACTGATATCAGTATTTTGTTAATCTTACAGAAATATCTCATCTTAATTATTTTTTTTCAATAGCAATTTTACAGTTTTTTAATACTCTTTGCAATCTTAGACAGAAAACAAAGAAAATTTTTCGAAAATTGATTATCCAACATTCGCTTATAAAGAGTTATTTATCTTAAACATTCACAGAATTTCATAAAACATTGCCGTATATTTAGTAGGAAGCTCCTAAAGAAGTATCACAAACATGATGTCAAGAATCAACTTTTCAATGCGCTAATTAAATCGCAAAAGGAACGTCATCTAACATGCTTCAAGAGGTGAATAAAAATTTTTTTTCAAGGATTATTTTTAATCTAAAAGTATATATATATGTACTCATTTAAAGCCGACTACTTACCAAATGTAGCATCTCCCCAACCCAATAAAGTTGTATTTTTTCCAACTAAACTCATGGAAGTTATTCGAGGAGAGGGCAGGCAAATGTGTGCAATCATCGGATGCAGCAGTTCTTCGTGCAAAGTCAGAATAGCAATATCGTTATAAAATTTCCCTGGAATATAGCCTTCATGAACCACAATTTTCTTTACAGCATATGGTTGTCCTTTATCGATATGAATGTTGCCAACATGCACCATGTACATAGTAGGATCTGGTTTCTCCCTTATAGGCGAAAGGAAATACTGTTAAATGTATTTTATAACCAAGCAAAATAATAATAATAAATAAAAAAAATAACCAATATGAATCACACTAAACATAAAGAAAACTATTTCTAGACGTATATCTTTGTATTATATTACACACGTCGATAGCCGGGATGCGGAATAACCTGGTTGGCAGGGCGCTGGTCTCATTTTCGTGAGAACGGGAGTTCGAATCCAGCCAGCCGAAGACTCCCCGTGGAGTAAATGGTGACTGGTGCACGCTAAATATGTCGAGTCACGAAATCCTCCATGCTTCCATAACTAACTATGCCTCTGGTGGGACTGAATTGGAGATTGATAGTTCCCTAATTCACGTCAAAATCACGATCTGTGGATGTATTAATGGGTCCGCTCTATAAAGAGGCGTTGCAGAAGTCGAATTCTTAGCTATAAATGGCGATACTGGAAGACAAGAACAATTGCACCCCTTGCCTTAATGGCCTACGACAACAACAACAAGTAGATATTTATAAAGATTATACTAAGTACATTATTTTGAAATTTTAGGAAAATAAAGAACGTTATTGACGACATCTTACCTTCCTGATACAAAGCAATGAGCAGCAGAAAGAATATGATTACGATCTATTAAGCTTCCGCCGCACCAGTGCACACCAGCTTTACGAATAGATACCTATAATTGCATAACTTAAAGTAAAGAAATAGAAATACTAAACGATGAATATATATACCGGAAAGAAATCGGGCATTCTTTGTCCCATCTAATAATAATAAGTATTTGCTTCATCATTTCCTATCACCGTATTGTATGTTTCATCTATCAGGTGTTCCAAAAATTAAGGGAGATTTGATAAATTAACTAAAAGATATTTGTTAATTTATACACACGCACAGTGGCGTATAGTTTGTCTAAAATAAGAACTCCTCCAGACATTCGTCTGGACCTGTGGCGGTGACTATGGTAACGAGGTTTGACTATTTCAAGTAGGGGTGCGGGGACAATGTTTTGGAGTGGTTTCGGGTCGGCTTGAGAAAGGGAATCTTTTTCTTCAGTCTATTATGTTACTCCTCGAGTAAAGCTACCCTCCCTAAAATGCGCCATTCTTCTTTCCATAGCACCAGAAGGCCTCAGACTTTGTGGCGGGAGGAGTTCTTAGCTTAGACAGACAGTAATTTTAATGTTTAATGACTATTTACCCATTATTGAAGAAAACCTTAGTTATCTCTCTCGAGATCTTCATTTTATAAGTTTACACTTGAGTTGATTTCAAAAGCAACAAACAAGGTTAATAAATAAAAATTTAAAAAAAAAGAGCTAAAGAGACGTTAGATGTTACCGGATATGAATCCTAAAATTTGTCTCAAAATCTCGGGAGAGAGGAAGACAGTTTCCGATTTGAATTGCTATATAATGCACAGGATTTGAACACAAAAATATGGAAACACTTCTAAGCTAACTCTACGTAAACAATCTTTCTTTTAGTAGCAAATGTTTCGGAAGATTTTACAAGGCAAAACTGTTGGCCCAATTTGAAAGAGGCTTTTAGTTTTTTAAAAATGATGTTCTTTATACCCATGCAAATTTCCAGTTAACCAAATTGAGAAGAAGAAGTTTGTAACTTCTTTTTATACTCAGTTGCAAATTAAAAAATGAAAAAGAACGAGCTCATGTTACTTTGCTACTGAGCTTTTTGAAACGACGTTGCACAGCCTCCCTTTTGCTTGCTTTCTTATTAACAAAATAATTCATCAACTAGTAATAAGAATTATTAAAAATGACACCTAAAAATCATAATAAATATTTCGCATTTTAAGAAACTGATGGAAGAATAATAAATATTGTGTCCTGCAGACGATTTTCTTCTACGGCGAATCAAAAGTAAAAATTCTTTGTCTCGCCTTTGATTTGTTAAGAGCATGTCAGCATAAGACCAGCCATTTTTAGTTGTCCAATTAATTACAATGCTCTTGCAACGTCATATAGTTGTGTCTTTTCCATGAACGAATGTTCTACTTATTTATTTATATATGTCGCCAAGTCATGGCAAAGATTGTATAATGGAACGGAACTATAACCTCTTTTTAATAATTTTTCTATATATCGTAAAAGATAGCATGAATTAAATTTTTGTCTGACGTGTTTAACTCTTAGAAGCTTTTAAATTTAAATTGTGTATAATGTATATTTGTATAATTTGATAACAGAATAGAGCGGAATTATATGCAGTCGCGGGTGATTACTTAAATCCTATACTCGCAATGCCTCGAGCCCACAAAAATAAGCGCCTATTCTCAAAACTCAACAGACGTGAATGAGGAAAGATCTGAAACAGAAAACATAAAGATTCCAACAAAAAATGTCACAGGGGATAGAGCGTTCGCCTTCCAATGAGGTGACCCGCGTTCGATCCCAGCGATGGCTGGCCGATAGGAATTCCGCATCCGGGTTGCACCAACCACAGTGCTGACGTAAAATATCCTCAGTGGTAGACGGATCATGGGCATGGGTTAGAGTCTATGGGTATCAAGCATGATCTTTCTAATTGTGCCAACAGTTTTGCTATGCAAAACATTTCCAGCTAATAGAAAAATTGTTTATGTAGAGTTAGTATAGAAGTGTTCCATATTTTTGTCCAAATCCTTTATGTTATCGGTATATTATATTGACCAGGTAAAATTAATTTACACTTATTTCTTCTTATCGTGTAATACGTAATGTATTTCTAAGTATTTTTTCCATTAAAGTTTAGTTGAATATTTTGCAAATCCGAGTAATGTGTAAATCCAAGTCCACTTTGTGGCTATTAACATGTTAACAAAATGTTCTTACACAAAACTATAGTTATTATATATTTTTTAAACAAATGATCCTTTCTTTAAAAAATAAAGTTATCTTCTTTTAAGACTAATGAGAAAACAGAGATGATCGAAAGATGTTGTGTGATTACACTTTGGTTAGTGCTGAGTCTCCTAATTAATCAAAACGGTACTAAAAATCTTTAGACTATAATGAGTGTTGTCAAATAATTATTACAACTAAAAACATTATGTTGTGCATAAACTAAACTAAAATAGTAGCTAACTACATTGAAAAATCTAAAAAAATATATTAATTAAATTATGTTTCATTGAAAAATAGTTTCATTATTCTTAAATTTTGTTCCATTGAGTTCGAATTTTGACGACTTTAAAAAAAATTCTTTAATGGCTTTTAAGAAAGTCTACATGAAAGTGATAATCATAAAATTGTTTCGCTAAAATATATATAAATTATCAAAAATTTTTGATATAAGGATTTTGAACTATTACATTAAAAAAAGCTATTGGGGGATTTAAGAAAGAAGTAACTATAAAAAATATTTTAAGTTTAAAATAATTATAGGGAGGGCACGTACCACCTGTGCCCCACCCCAGACACTACGCCTATGCTGATAACCGTTCTTCACTTTTGAGATCAGTTTTTCACTTTTGTCATTAACCCTGATTTTATGATGATCTAGAAATCTAGTCCAAAACCCATGTTAAGATTTCATTTTGTTAGCTAATATAGCACTAGAGCTGCCCTAGAAGGTTATCGGCGACTGTCATCCTTAAGGATAAGCCATGAAGTAGATTTGTCTTTCTTAAAAAGAAAGGGAACGGAAATCTTTATTTTTATCTACTTATCTAAAATATCTAGATTTACTTAGCAATTTATTTCTTCAAAATAATTTTTTTTTTTCAAAAATAAATCTTTAAACTACAAAAAAGTTTGAGTTAGGGCGAAAATTGAACTCTAACTTACCATCCATGGGAAATCCCCTTGTCTAGATGAAACACCGCCAACAGGTAAAACTGATGGGCCTTTTGAATCTTTGAGGTCTGTAATAGCAGCTTCATAAATTTTTTTTTTTTTAATATCAAAAACAATTTCGTACATATGCATAGATAATTAAAATCGTTGCACACAATCAATAATTCACTTCCAAATAATGACATACCTGCCAACTTTTAATCCTTTCGAGGAGGTTTTTCCCCAGTGGTAGTAAAATGAAATTTTAATTACAATTTTAGGCAGAAACATACGCTGTATTTTGAAAAAGCTTAAGCAGAACAGTATTACATCTTATTATATATGCTTAATTTTTTAAAAAATAGTGGTTGACAAAAAGATTATAAATTAAGTTTATAAATGCGAGGAATCTATAGAAAGTATACATTTTACTACCACTTTAAATATAAAAATAAAATTTTACACCCAAATGCGTAAAAGTTGGCAGGTATGTAATAAGATAGAAAACATTTTCATTTGCTTAGTACATCAAAACAACTCATATTATTCTAAATATTTATTGGAACAAATAGTTTAGTTATAATAATGCCTCTTACCAAGCGGTGGATCGAATTTGTTTGGATTACTTTTATCCAAAGGTGGTAAACTGTTTTTAATCTCGAAAAATTTGTTTTCTGTTTCTGATAGTCCGGGGGAGTGAATAACTGTTCCACATTCTGAAAAAGATTAAAATTGGACTATACTGGAATTTAAAAAAAGAAAGTTCATTGCACTGTTTTCTTAAATTTTCTCTTGCATTAATTTTCTGTAAAAATATAAAACAAAGATTGCAAATGAAAACATACTAAATGAGCCGCATCGAAGCAGGGCCCCTCGAAAGGAGTTTGCAGTAGAAGATAGGGTCTCGGTACTGATAGTGACCTTATAATGATAGTGATAGCTCTGTATTGATAGTGATAGCTCTAAGCTCACTCATTGCGATGCATGTTTCAGCTGGTCTTGTGTTAGTTATATGCAGTGATGATTCCAGCGTGTTATAAATACTATGTAAAACAGATAAAAGTCACTTTATTTCGTGACCTGAGAATCATATAGATTGTACATACTTGTTTTAAATAATTTCCATTTATATATTCTTTATCGATTTCTAATTTTGATTTGTAAAATAAAATATTGCATATTAAAACAATGGTAAATTAATTGGTATTATCTTGGATGATGAGGGTAAAGAATTATAGTTTTAGAACTTTAATAATTTATTTCATAAAAATGTTTTACAATTTCTTCTGTGTGTTTAATTTTAAGACGGCTCTGCTCTGATCGAAGCGAAGTTTCAAGTTAGGCAACAGGGTGTACTTCGAAGTACTAAAATGGTTCTAAAGTACTAAAATGTCAGAGAAAGTGAATAAAACATGCTAAAAAAATATTGATATACTTCGTAAAATAATGAAACTAATATAATAATTTGGCCAATACAGTATAATAAGAGCTTTACTTCGTGTCTTTTCAATCAAGCTATGTCATTATGTGAAAAATAACTAATTTTTGATAAAACAGCGGTTTTCTAGTCTAGAAGTATTTATTATAGTAGTACAAAATTTTATCAATGAAATATAAAAAAAAAAAAACTATTTTGTAGTCGCAAAATTTCGAAGAATTTTTTTCAAAAAATAAATGTACTAACAAAAGATAATTAAAGTCTATGTGCATGCATATTGCAATATTCGGCTCTACCTGTAGCGTGGATCAAAATCCAAAATTAAAATAAAAACTTCGATTGATTTTGTCTTTTTTTTGCTAAAGCAAGGCTCTAAAATGTGTTTTCTTAAATACACATATATTTTTTTTTCTTCTCTAAAATGGGGCAGTAAGATTAGATGAGCAGAAAACCGTTATTCCATCTCTAGATTTCCTTAGATTCTTGTAGGATTTAATTTTTTCTGTTTGTCACCATAATTCTCCATTTAACTTAGCAGGGGCAACAACCTTCTTTTTATAGCAACACCAAATCATTTTTGAACAGATGCAGGCCTCAAAAATGAAAACACATCCAATTAACAAAGGATTGTCTGAAAACTAAACATTTTTGTATCATTTTTAGGAAAGAATAAATAGTCTTTCGGGGAAAGAAAAAAAAAAAGATAATCAGTTTTTCAAATTTTAAGCTATTTTGATTTGGATCTAATCGAAATACATGATGTGATTAAAAATAAGTAATTCTGAACTAAGTGTGTTCACTAAGAACACAAATTTAACAAAGCACGTTTGCTTTTAATTATACAAAATATAAGCTTTGCGGATGACTTCAGTACAGGGCTCGAAAAAACTCAGAAATTTTACCCGTCCCCGAGGACGGCTTGTCCAACAATGCACCCGTCCTCCGTTGAAACTAACCCGTCGCTTCGAAATAAATAAAAATATAATTTTCTCCTATTTATTACAAACATTCATATAAATTGCACAATGAATTAGTCGTCACTAGGATTACATTATACAGTAATAAAAAAAAATACTAGGTTATACTAATATTAATAGTAACCTAGTATTTCTTTTATGAAATAATTTAAATGACAAGGGTCAAGTTATCTGGAATGTCAAGTTATCCGAGGGTACTGCGTTTTTTAAATGAATCAAATATGACGTTTGCCAGTTCCACAATCAAGCCAATGATTTACAGAGGTTTCTGAACAGAAATCTGAAAGGGGTTTTCCATTCAGGTAGATGTTCATAATTGCTTTTAAAGCTTCTTGTTTAAGACCAGTACGTATTGTGTTTTTTTGTAAGTTTATTGCTGTAAAGCCCCTTTCAACCGCTGCAATACTCCCAGACAGAGAAAACATCAATATATGAGCAGTATGTTGCTGTATTGTGGGTCATTTTGCTGCCTTGTAACTTACAAGACTCTTTGTAAGATAACAAAAATTGAAAATGTATCACGAACATTAACGGGAAAATGGCCGTCCGCGCGGACGTCGGATTCGAGAAATTCGTTGTCCGCGGAGAATTTTTGACCGTCGAGGACGGGCTGTTTTTCGAGCCCTGCTTCAGTAGCACTTTTAACTTTTAAATAGAAAGTTAAATAGTACCTCTTTTTCTTGCGTTTTCTTCGTCGATCTTTTTCATCAAGGTTTCTCCAAAGACCAATGGTACACCACAGCAAACTCTGGGCACATTATCTCCAACCCATCCACACAGAGTTGGCCAACCACCTAGAGCTATGGACGCAGCAGCAAAATCACAAACTCTTATGTCCATGCAAGGATTTACACTTCCACCAGCTCCGGTACAACTTGGATTCATGTGAGTGTAGTTCCATCTCAGGTAATCTTGCAATACTCGTTCTATTTATGCGTTAAACATATATATATTTCAATAAAATTATCCATCAAGCACACTAAAAAGTTCAGTATAATTTTTTTTTTCATTAAGGGAAAGAGGATTTGGATTCATGACCCAAGCAAAATTTTGGTTTACATGGTATTATTTCTTGTAAATTGTCTTTGCTTGTGTATTTTGTTTTTGAAATAATATTTCTTCTTCTTGTGCTATTTCAAATAGGAGAAATTAGATCGATATGGTGTATTTTATTTTTAAAGTTTTTATCATCAAATGATATCTCTAATCTAAAGAAACCGCATCTTTCATGGCAATAGCAATATGCACCCTACAAAAGTAATTTTTGGATACGCCACTGTTGCACACGATTATAAAATTTGGTTATCTAAATTATAATTCCATGTAAAATGTATTTTTTTATAATTGTTTTATTAAATAATAGTCGAAAAGTTTTTGAATAGCAAAGTATACAGATTTTTTACATCATTTTGAAAGAAAGTATGCAATTTCAAATGACAATAATATAGAAAAAAAAAAAGAAGAAAAAAACGATAAATAGTCCTCAAATTTTTTTAATTTTCTTTTTTAAGCAGATGACTTTTTAAAATTTGATAACTCTGTAAATATTCGACCAATTTCGTTTAAATTTTGCATTTTTAAAGTTTAAAATGCTGTAAACATTCATATAACTTGAGTTTACCATTATGAAACAAAATAATTAATAATTATTAGCAATTATTTTTTACAAATAGTTTCTTTCATTAAACTTATTTTATAATTAAGAGCGAAATTGTTTCGATTGGCATAAAAAATGTGGGGAAATTCGCAAAAAATGAGATTTTTGAGGCTCAAAGCTTCGTCTGCACTCTTACCTTAACTAAGAGAAGCATATTTAAATTGTCAAAGATTTGAATCCCCCCCCCATTAAAAAAGTATGTTAATCTAAAGAAAGATTGTTTTTGCTCCTGATTTCTTAATTTAATCTTAATTAATTAGCACATTTAAGATATAACTTATAGAACAAAATTAATCCATCTGTTCTCTTGGGGTGTCATAAGTGAAGATTATAAGTACTATATTAAAATATGAAATGAAGTTCTATGCTTCATGACATTGCAAGAAGAATTTTCCGTCCTACGAAATTACGATTTAGCTGAAAATATCTATCAACAAAAAATAAGCATAAAACTAAAATAAAAAAAAGAATAATAAAATTTTAAAAACTATATTTTTCAAACCTGATAACGAAAAAAGTTGAACGCATCACTTTCGTATTAATCTAGAAAATGCCCCTCCCTTTCCAATTTGGAGTAGAAGACCTGCGACCTACGTTTCAGGTCTACGTTACGATATATAAGCTGACCAGCATCCATCCGAAACTAAAAAACTGGTAGAAAAATTTCTAAACAAATGCATCATTCCAATAATAATAAAAAATTCTGTAAGAAAATCTCTGTGAAGGATTTCTATTTTCAGAGTATTAAGTACTATCAGCAAGTTTTCAAATATCCGTTAAGAAATTTTTCCAGCGTTTAAGTTCTGGAAGTGCGCTGGCTAACTTAATATTTATATATAAAACGCAAAATATATATATATAAAATATTCCATCCCTACATAGCGCTTTTGGAATTTTCGGGCAACTTTAGCTATATCCGAAATTTGGCACTATTTTCGGCAGTAATATACACAGTTCGTTTGTACAAACAATTCTGCAGTAATAAAGCAGTTTGAAAGCTTTTAATCCTATGAATACATAGATTTCGATAGTTTGCGTTGCTTGGTTGTTCCTATCTTTACAATATGATTTTGAAAAGAAAAATACGTGATTAGCTAAAAAGGTTTAATTGGAAAACTTTTACTCACCATAAGCACAAGATAGTCCACAAAGAATAGAGAAAAACCAAATAGAAATCATTTGAATTTGATATTTATCTATTTTTACCAAAAAAAAGATTATTTGCTGAAAAGCTTCTCAGTGAATGCTTTTTCTTTCAAGGACAAGAAGCTAAAAGTTGATGGTAGAATTTTTTTTTCCTGATGAGAAAAACTTGTTATTGAAACCGGAACATTGACGTTTCTACATCCCCAGAAATTATCATCGCAGTGTGTGTTTTGTTAAATAATTAGATGAAACTTTCCCTTTCTCAATACTCTGCCTGAAAATCAGCCCGAACACCGAAACTTCTGATTCTTAGTTCAAACGACTACCTGAATTTTAATTCTGTCAATTAACTACCAATATCTGAAAACGCCTCCTTATTTATTATTTCTCGATAATTTTATGATTTGGCTTCAATGAGGGGAAATTTTATTTGAATAACTTACGAGAGGTGAAAGTTTTAAAATATGAACAATTAGAAGGGAGATGTGTGCTCCTTCCCCCAAGTTTATAAATTTTCTAAACATTTTTTCTTGATTTAGGGGACGAAATTAAATTAGGATTCACAAAAAATCTCTTAATTTCACTTATAAGAATTTTTTTCCCTTCAATGCTAAATACCGGCAAAAGGTTTAATTATTTGTACCTCCTTCTTGTTTTTAACATTAAGGATTTTTAAACGATAATTCACGAAAATTTTCTAAATTTGTCTGAAATTTTAACAGATTCTCAATTGTTGAGGGGGGCATATAACAAATTCTTCGAAGGACTTTTCACTCATCATACTATTCTATGCTCATTAAATACTTATTTGGTTGGCTCACAATTAAAATTTTTCCCGGAGTGGTTTTTTTGTTGTTAAATTTCTTAATTTGTCTTTTAAGAAAAGTTTTTAAATAAAATTTACTTTATACAGGGTATCTGCTACATTTTAGATTTATAAATCCATGACTAATTCTAAGAATTTTTCATGACTTAACAAAGTTACTATTTGCTACGACAAAAACACAACAATAAACTTAAAAAAGCATTATAACATTTATTGAAATGATAGGTTTAACCAAAACTGTTATATTCTGCATCTTCATATTTATAGATTCAGGGATGAGTATTCAGAAACTAAAAAAAGAGAAAATCCAAGAAAAAATATACACAAAAATTTGACAAAAAAAAGTGAGATTTTTAAACTTGCAAACCATATGATTATAAATCCCGATGATTAATTTTAAAACTGTATGAATATGAATCACATGCATGATTTTAAATTGAGAAAATATGAATCCCGATATGAGGTTTTTAAATCACTTGAATATGAAACTCTATAACGAATTTAAAAAATGCGGAAGTACAAATCATGATGCGTAATTTTTAGATCATGTAAATACGAATCACGATGCATAGTTTTTAATTCGCGCGAATACGAATCCCAATGTCTAATTTTTAAAGCCCGTATAAATACGATCGATGTTTAATATTACAACCGCAAAAACGAATCACGACATTGGATTTTAAGCTCGCATGAACACGAATTGCTACATAGGGTTTTAAAAGCGCGATATTGAATTTTAAAATCTCGTAAATAAGAATCGCAATGTACGATGTTTAAAGAATCGCAATGCGCAACTTTTAAATCAGGTAAATACGAAAATCCATGTTTGATAATAAAATCGCGATTTTAAAAATGCATAAATACAAATCGCGATATTGGATTTTTAAATCTCGTAAATAAGAATCATAATGTACGATATTTAAATAGCGTAAATTTCAAATCAGGTAAATGCGAAAATCGATATTAAAATCGCGTGAATAAGAATCGAGATATCTGGACTTGGGATTTCTAAAAGGCTTGCTTGTATTCTTTAGACATAATAAACAAAAATTTACTAGATTAAAGGTCAGCAGCTAGGACGTTGTGTGAATTTTCTGTTTATCTTTGAAAATCGTAAATAATTATTTTATTTCAACGATTGAATTTTTTTTTTATAAAGAAAACGGGATATTTATTAAAATTCGAGCGAAAAACTCTCATCCCCGTATAAAGGTCATCCAGTTTTATCCCGAGGAAATGATTTTTAGAGAAACTTCAGAGGGAGGAATAAGGACAATACTTTCGTTCCGCGGAAAATTAAATTACTCATAAAATATTTTAATTTGTGCAACAAAAAAAAAAAAAATTCTGCGGAAATCCGTGAAAGAATCACATCCCTGTAGATTTTAAAGCAGAGTAAAGAAAGAAGTACTTCTGATTTTTCTATTCTCATTTCGGAGTAAAAAAAAAAATTCGCCAATGATTGGCATGCTTCAGCTTGAATTTTAAATTGATGAAATAAAAAAAAATTCTGAAATCACAGAAGTTTAAAAGATAATTCGCTCTAAAAATATTTCTTCTTTCATTTTTTGAAAGAACGCCATAATTTTTAAAGAACACGATAAAAAAATTTAATAAAATATGACTGTGAGTGGGGATTTTGTTACCAATTCAGACTTTCGGAACACCATGAAACTAGGGAAGGGAAATTAGAATTTTCGGCGACCTAAATCCATGCCTTTAAAAAAGATAGTTAAAATCATGACAAATTTTGTTCAATATCGAAACCCATGACTTTCCCTGTTTATACCAAGAAAGTGATAAGTAAAGCCCGGAATTTCAGGCAATAAAAAATGCAAAAATAGGCAGGCAAAAAGGCATTTAAAAAGCNGTATATTGTGGCGTCAAAAGTAAGAAACTAACTTTAGTAAAAATACGTAACTAAAGAGATCGACTGTGCTGGTTTTTAAGAATAGGTTCTAGGTATCCATGAATAACGTCCCCCTTCTATACCACTAAGTTACACACGACACCATAGTCTCCTTTTTGTGTTATATTACACGAACACATATAAACAGTTCGGAAATAAAACACATATAACATACTTTAAACGTCGTTTTTCCGCAAAGGGTTTTAATGACAATTGAGAGCATAATTACATATGTGCTTATTTTGACGAAAAGAACTAAAAATTACTTAACCTGAGTTTAAGCGTTTTTACTTTAAGGAAAATGAATCTTTCTTTTTTGACAGTAGCACAATAGAGTATTCTCCTTCCGTTATTTGTTTTATTTTATAGTAGACTATATTTTTCTGTTTCAGTTATGAAAACATTCGATAAAAACATTGTGAAACGAAGTTAAATCTTGAGATATAACATCTTTAAAATATAGACATAGATGAGAAAATAAATATCGCCTCTCTAAAATACATAATACGGAGGAATCGGAATGAAGACTGCAGCCGCGTAGCGGTCATAGAATTGAGATAGTATTTCAACTCAATGGTAGCGGTTAGTCACGGAATAGCTGGGCTCCGCAAGATGCTAGCATACGTTTTTGATCTGAACTAAGTTGAGCAGATTCTTCAGAAAACTGAAATGGGTAGTAAAAGTTATAAACTGATATTGAATGTGTAATGTGATCTTTTCCAATTTAACATTCCGGAAATAGAAATCATTTGCAGATTCTCTAATATTAATACTTGGAAAGGTCGAGTGGAGATTTTTAATGGCCTTAGGCGGCTTGTCAGCTAGTCTACAACCTTTTACACCACATCTTACTGAAATGGTTTAACGTAACATAACGTCAATGACTGTCAAAATCTTTCACTCAGTTAAGATAATAATTTGCTATTGTATTACTGTAGCTTATCAAATGCAGTTGCAACTTGATTAAATGGGAATCTGATGAGGCCATTTCTATACTGAGCAAATAAAAGTAATCAATACAGCACTGATCCGCTGAGTTTTCCATTCCAATAAAAAAAAACTTACTACCCATCCCTATCGTGAGATTAAAATATTGGCGATAACTTTTCTGTAGCTAAGCAAAATTCTATGTCACGGTTAAGTGCATTTTTTTTTTACAAGTTATGATACAGATATTACTTAACTCGCACTACAGCTGAGCTTGAAGCACATCAACTGTTCTTTCTACTTGTATTCTCAAGTGAACATATTTTAATCAGAACTATTAATACTATCTAGTATGTAACTAATTTTTAATGAAACTAACTTCCTTTTCATAAAAAAAAAACGTGAAATGCGGAGCATTCTCATTCAGTTTTCCATTCCAAACTGATTTTTTTTCCACTGCGAAACAAGTAATCTCTGCCATACAGGATTTGACAACTTTCTAAGTGAAGTAGATTAAGCCCCAATTCACCTTGTCAATCTATCAACCTATCGTATTTTGCCCAATGGTCATAAACACAATTAGTTCTAGGAAGTAAATTTGGAACAATAGAAACCTCCCTCCAGATTAGACTATTATAAAATGAAGAATATATAAATTTCTTTAAATGACAAGCCACAGCCCAACAAAATGAGAAAAATAATTGCACATTAAAACACAGGCAAACACAACAGCCAAGGAGACCCCTTAAAATTAAGCCAACACAAAACAAGTTCACTATAAATGCTGTTAACAAAATATATACAATCCACTTTCACCATACCATAAAACTCCGAAGAATATGTTCGAACCATAAATTTAACTATATATTATTCCTGAAATATAAAATTCAAACAAAACTCTGATGATTTTATACAATTTTATTAAAATAACACTTAAATCCTGGAAGGGTACAGCATAACCCGAATCCTTCGCCCCATAGCTTTAGCAGGTAAGTTGCTTCGGAATTTAGCTCTTACTACACCACTGTTTCCATGCGGTCGTGTTACCTTACCCCAAATAGCTCTTAACTTAGAATATTTATCTTTCTTGCCTGGAACTCTTTTCTTACTGAAAAAAAAAACAAACATAATTAATAAAAAGCTAATTAAACTACTACTTCAGAGCAAGTACTTAAGTAACAAGGAATATAACTTATGTATCAGAACATTTTTATACACATTCAAGTGCCCAGTAGTATAACAGAAAAGTATTTTGATTTTGTATACACAAATGTAAAATTATAACTTAAAACCATCACCATTATTACTGGCATTAGATTAAAATTTCGTCAAGACACATGACGCCGCAAAATACTCAAATCAAGTGTAAATAAAAGTGAATAAGAGGACTAATGGAGCAGAACAGGACTATATAACACATAAAGACAGAAGCTAATAAATAATTTGATGCAACTAAGATGCAATAATGTATCTGCAACCAGGATATTGTATATTAAGAAATAATAAACAATGTTTTATTTGCAGATGTTTCTATGTCCCCCAAATGATAGAACCACAGCTAAACAATATTTTTTAGGTGGCAGCGTTGAAAGGGAAAATACAAGACCAAAATGTAAAAGTTAGTTTACATTCAGCAAGATTAACACTTAGCTTCCTATATTCATAAATTAGCTTCTTCATAAAACAAAGCAGGAAAGTTATTGAACTCAGACCATCTAGTAGCAATTCAGTACAAAGTACAATTATACTAAAAAAAAAATGCTTAGCTTTGTACACATTTGAAGGTGCTATAGAATTACATGATAGTTACAAAATATCTCCTAATCCAGTACCATCAGAGTAACGAAGTCTCATCAGGCATCAGGAGACCGTCGTGATGTCATCATTAAGTAAAAGAGTGGCTAAATAGACAATATTTTTCATCATACAATTCAGCAACGAACATTCTCAACACAAGCATTCAGTTCGCCCTAGTTCGTAGTATTCATCATATGTACTAGTAAACATCAATAAGATATGAAATAATAAAAGGAAAAATAGCTATTGTAAAAAGAAAAAAAAAAGCTTTAATTCATAAACTCAATGTGAGATTTACAAAAAGTAGAAACAGCATATAACACACTTTTCCGTGGAGCTCAATCACTTTTCTTTAGCACCAAACTCTAAAAGCAAAGCCCACATCACTAGCTTTCTTAAAAAAAGCGAGGTGCATCATTTTAATTCATTTACCACTGCTTTGGTCTGATCAAAAGTACCGGACAAATGCTGGCACATTTTCTTAATCATCTACCAACAAATTAACTGAAGAACAGAAACGGACAATAATTAATCTCAAAAGGTCATCTGTACTAGTGTAATATGAAATGTAATCAGACAAAGGATATAATCATAAGCATCATTGGATTGGCTCTATTTGATCATCATAAAAAAATCTAAGGCTTTTAATTGAAGATGTACAAATTTTACACCCCCACTCAAAAACATGTCCAGAACTGAAACATTTAAATTACATTCCCGTTTTCATCACAAACAGGATGTCTAAAGTTATGCAACACAGACTGTTAAACTTCTCTATTAAACTCACAGCAAATATATCATTGAAAACTACAAGCCACGTCTTATCAGGCATTACTGTCATTTATAAATAGAAAACCCTTTTCTCAATTTTTTTAATCAGGTTATTGCTTTAAGGTCAAACAACAATTTTTTTTAAAAACTTAATTTAGAAACTAGATATTGTATTAGTTGCACACACGAATCATTGATGTCAGAAACAAGGGGGCCGAAATTTTGCACTTTTATTAAGTAAATTGAGAAGAAAAACAGTATAAGTGAAATGAAAAAAGCTGCACATTAGGTCAGATAGGAGCGAAAGACAAAATAAAATTCATCAATTTGTCAGAATTTTAAGATTTATCATCACAACAGTGCACTGTGTACAATCACTGAATTTATTTCTTTAAAATTTATCAAAACTTCAGAAACTGGTTAGGAATCATTATCAATCATTAGAGGTGCCAGTAATGTCATCACATTGCTACATTTAAATACTTACACACACACACACACACATATATATATATAAAAAAAAATATTGAAATTTGACTACATCACTATAACTCACACATTACTTTATAATAATCCCCGTGGCAGAATTTTTTCGGGAGCTCTATGACAAATATCTTACCACAAGATACTTCCAATAATAACAAAGATGTATGTTACTAATTCAAGGTAACGAACACATAAAAAATAATTTGAATATGTAATATTTTTTTTAAAATTATAATATAACGGACAATTTTCCAGCATTTTGTAGGGTAGAAAAACTCACCATTTCCTTACCAAATTTTGTAAAACATCAACATAAAAAAAGTAATGCTGACAGATGAATGCTGAAGTCACACGCTTCAAAAAGGGGCTACTTAAACGAGTGTTTCACTTCAAGATTTGATTGTCGCAATAAACAATATCGGCCTTTAAAAACTACAAGGATATCAAAAGTATTAATCAAATCTTTCATATAGTTCGAAATATATCGGGATAATTAAAAACACACGTGAAAATCAATAACTGCCGAAAATACAAACGAAGCACCAGTACCACTGATACTATCGGCATAAATCGAACACAACAAAATGTGATAATTTAAATGCGCAATTCAAATTTTACGTGTAAAATTCCGCAGAAAAAGAAAATGGCTTCTTCCCAAAAGAAACATTTTTCTGTCAGAACTCTGTAATGTTCTGCGACAATATCGCCAAGAGTCTGCCACAGGGATAATTAAAGTTCATCATCACATATATGCATACAGCAGGCTTTTAAGATCTATCCTGGTGACAAGAAATGACACACTAAGAAATAATAATAAATAATAATTTAACTTTAATAAAAATCTGAACCATGCCAAGACCAACATTGGTGACAGATACTAAATCATGAACAATACTTGCATATATACAATAATTATGATTCATAGTAAACATCTTACAAAAATGTAGCCAAAATTACATACTGGTTTATTAACGGTACTCTTAATACTTTAAGACTAACATCATAGCTACTTAGATTCACATTATAGTTAATATCCACCGTAACCAATTATCAGATCTCAGCTTGTAATTTCTTTTTATTGACTGAGCAAACAAGGCTTTAGAGAAAATTCGGACAGCAATGTAAAATTTTTTGATTAGCTTATAGGTAATATTAGGCTCTAAGAATTTTCTGCACTTGTGCTTACATGTACACAGAAATTTTCAATAAATCCTAAGTCTATATTCCCCAATTAGTGAATTTACAAAAATATAAGTGATTAACTATCACTATTTAGTAGCCTTATTAGAATAAATTTCCTAGTTACATGCGATTGATTATATTAGTCTTAGAAAGTCTACTCTCTAGGCAGCTCAGCATCAATTTAAAGTAGTTTTGAATTCCGGTTTTTTCTCTCCATACAAAACTGAAATATGAACTTTGAGTAGAGAGGGCTTAAAAACTGCTTTGTTGTCATTGCAGGCTTCAGGGTAAGGAGTTAAAAATGGGAGTATATAAAAGTTGTTTCTTAAAATGAATGATTATTAAGTTATTTTAATTAAGATGCCTTTTTTTTATTAAGCTAATCGGTATTTCTTATAATTTTTAAAATTATCGAGTTAGATACATTGCAATTTTACTAATTTTATTTAGAGGTTTTGACATTAATCGTTAATATTTAATGCCAGAAGTATTCAAGAACATAATTGATTGATCACTAATTTCATACGTACATTAATTTAGAAATACTTTTAATAGATGGCTAGTCCTGAAAACATCTGTATGCAAACCTACTATCAAACTCTGTCCACCAGAAACAGGGTTAGCGAAATTTGCAATTTCTTTTACACAAACCTCATCACTTATTTCTAATAAATATATAAGTTCTAGGAATGTGTATAAATAAGAATGCTATAATCTTCAACACCAGATTATTCACAACAGTTAAAAATATATAGGTTGCAATCAATCATTTTTATTCGAGAACATACCAAGGTCATTGCTGTAAGACTGTTGCATCTTACACTTTTGAGTTGATAAAAAAGCTGTAACACTCAGTTCTTCCTATAAATTTTGAGATTAAGTCATAAAACTAAACTACACTCTATACAAAAACTGAAAATTGGGTGAAAAGATAAAATACCCTGACATACAATTTGTGGTCAAATTCTGACGATTTTTATTTCAAATTCTGACGAATATGAGCTACAAGCCTTTATTAGAGAGAAAAAAAAATGTCTAAATTCTAACTTGCATTCAGAATTACGTCCCATATTGCATAATCATGGATATCAGAAAATAAAGATCATCATTGCAAGCTACCAAATACCTAGTTTAAGCAGTAATTTATGCAGAATCGTAGACCAAACTGTACAAACAGTTTAGCAAAAGTACACCAGAGTTCAAGAAAAAAAGTATTTAAACTGGTTCTTACTTTCATAAATAATGAACACAAAACTAGAGCTTAAATATATATATAAATTAAAAAAATTAAGATCGAATCTTTGCTACTATCACTAAACAGTTTTACTCAATCCAATACAGATTTGCATACAGCCAGATACAATCAGCAATTCAGTGAAATTTTAGAGAAAAGAGGCCCAATTGACTACATGATCAATGGTAACTACTTAAAATATCCTTTTTTTCTTAGAATTTATAAGTCAGTGGCAAACCTTTAACATTTCAACATTGAAGGGATAAAACTGACCAATTAAAAATGTAAGACTTTTGAATAACCTAATACTACAGGATAGGAAAAAAAATATATATACAGGATAGGATATTCTTTCACTTTTGAATGGTGACAATTAGAATGAATACCATATTAAAATTTCAATCTGAAAAGGTCACCAAAAAGTGTGTATATATATATATAAAATTGAATTCAAAGACTATTTAAGGAAAATTATTTTATGTCAGCATCAAATCAAAATTTTCACAATGCTTGATTTTAAAATGGGGAAGAAAAAAAAAAAACATAATAAGTACAGTTATGATGTTCCTCAATCACAGTTGAGGAAACGCTTCAAGTTCCCCCCCCCCCAGTAGATTTAATTTTTTGCTCCAGCCTTGATCAACTTGAACCCTTGCTAGATGAAATCATGATTGAATCCTTTCCCTACTTTAGAATTTCATACACCATGACATGAACAGATATTGAACTCCATTCAGAGATGTTTTACAGGTTAAATTTTTCGAGCAAATCAGAGAAACTCCTCTTTTCTTGAAAACTGTACTACCCTTCTTTGCTTTTAAAACAAGTTTGCTTACTTTTGTTCTTTTTAGAAGGTCAGCTTTAAAATTACTGCATCCCACTTAATAGCAAAATTTTAATGTCCGACTTCGAAAGGCTGCACTTTCAAACTAAAAATATCCCCTTTAAATAAATAATTTTGGCGATAGCTTGAAAGAAAATAGAAAACTTACGTTTTTGCTCTGTATACAAATACACATTTCTTTCCCAAATAAAATTCGGTTTCTCTCCTTGCTACAACACCATCAATTTTTAATAGGGAGGTATTCTCATGCTGATTACGAAGACCTCTTTTGTAGCCAACAAATACTCCTTTACAGTACAACCTATAAAACAAATAACACATAGTACACTGATTTTGATACCAAATCAGCATTACAAAAATTAAGTGACAAAGAATTTTATATTTTACCTAATCAATAATGATAAAATATAACTAAGGATGTGAAAAAGTTAATTAAAATTCCCCAAATAAAAAAGTAGTTACCCACTGGAACTAGGGAGATGAAATAAAACATCGTTTAATCAATAAAAATATCAACACTTGAATAAGCAATGACACAAGGTAGTCGAAAAGAGGACAATCAAAACCCTCACACATATCCTGTGGGTGCACTTAAGTACCACAATTGACTAAATTATACAAGATGAACTCCGACTTGACAATGGAATATCTTAATAAGAGTTAAACATAATCAATAACTAAAACTTTCTTATTACTAGGAGAAAAATGGAATACAATACCAAAGTTCTTATGAACAACAGGGTGGCCACTCAAATCAGGTTTTAAAAATTCCAGGTTAAGTGCTTCCCCCCTCATGAAGTGCAAAAAAAAAAAGTGCTAGTATAATAATGTATTTCATTTAAAGTGCTTTAGGGTACTACTTGATTTCAAGAACGCCAATTAATTACAATTAGTTCATGGCTTCCATGCATTCAATAATATAATGAAAGGCTTTCTCCCTCCCCAATAGAAATTTCACATGAACTCCCTAAATAAGATTCAAAGATGACAAGCCACGCTGCTGGAATTGATAATAGTGTTAATCCCAAACAAAACAATATCTTATAAAGTATGTTAAAAGTATATTTTAGGGATAAAAAAAAAATCAGACCAGCTGAAGTAATTATTATCTAAGCGTTTTTAGAAACGCAGCCTACCCTGCCTGACCTCTTATAAGTGCGCCCTTCTTCCTCTTTTAGTAAAAAAAAAAACACTGCCTTTTTTATTATATTGTTTCCAGGAAAAGACTCTTTAATCATCTGTTTCAATGAAAAGTCCACTTCTGATCTTAGATACTGATAATTATTAAACTTCAATCTTCAGTTTTATTTCTTAATTTTAATAAGATTTTTCTTCACGAGATATAAAGTCAAAATTTGCATGATATTTGATCTCAGAGATGTTCACATTTTCAACTTAAAAATGTTAAATAAAATGTCTTAAAACATAGATAAAATTCACTTATTACATAATATTAAACACTCTGATTGATTTTAACAGCGGTGAGTGCAAAAAACTCAAAGTGCCCTTAATTTTTATGTGGACTCCCCATGCCCTTTTATATTGCAGTACAAAACCCGTTATCCGGAAAACCAAAAAAAAAAAAAAAAAAAAAAAAAAAAAAAAAAAAAGCGGAACAACATTCGATAAATTGTAGTGCCATTAAAAAAAATTTTTTTTTCTCTCATAAGATTTTAGGATTTTTTTTTCTTTTACAAAAATTTTTGAAATAATCATTAGTGTATTCCTTCATTGTTTTTTTCCTCCTTTTTAAGATTATTTCCAAATAAACTTTTTTTCGTTGGGTTTAACAATAAACAAATGTCTTTTTGTAGTGATTCAGAAAACTGGAAAAATCAGTTATCCGGAATAGCGATGGTCCCTTTCGTTCCTGATAATCGGTTCCCTACTGTATTAGGCAGAATTATGAAGAAATGTATTTTCAAAGAGAGCATCTTTTAACACTATTTTAACTTCAAATATTGCATGTATTAATTAATTAGCATATATCTGACGCCACCTACCCAAACCTTTAAGAAGGATCCAGGCTCAGTATTTGTTACCTGGCCAAATGTGATTAAAACGCAAATTTGACAAAACATTTTTAGTGGTAAAACAGATTATGTGGAAGCACATATTTAAATATATACTCTACACTCAGAAGTTATGTTCTCGTGACTATAACAATTCCACTCTATTACAAGAAGCTATCAACAATTAATCCCATCATATCTTTTTCTCTTAAAAATGATAAACATTACATTTTTCATCTTTCCTCTTACTCATTGTTCCTTTACTTTTCAACAACTGCAAAATGCTTTCTGATTAAGAAATTGTTAAAACTTGCCTTTGGCTAAGGATTATGATACTTGGCTAATACGTTTGATATCATGTTTGGATAATGTTATCTCCACTAAGAAGGTGAAGCTCTAATAATTAGATCAAGTAATACAGGGTGGTTTATTAAACTTGTGCAATACATACATAAGAACAGGGAAAATTTTTTATTAAACGTACTGTAATCTAATAAACAAACTAGACTATTGACAGTTTCTACTGGACAATACGGAGCGTATCATGTGTTAAACTCAACTCTATAATTAACATAATAAAATTTAGATACACGAAAACATGCACAAAAACCACAGAATTAAATGAAAATCAACAAACCTTCCTGGTTTTACATATTCACGTGGCTTAGGTGCAGCTACTTTAGGTGTTGTTGCTGGTGCTGCTGAGGCCTTCTTTTCCTTATCTTTTGACTTTTCTGTTTTTGACGGCTTATCTGCCATTTTTGGTTTCTACAAACATAAAAGTTGTTTAGCACTGATATAAGCGAGGCAACAGCTACAAAAGTTAAAAAGCTTGAACATCTAAAAAAAACTTTAAGTGCACACTAAGAAAGTTTAAGCCCACTAATTGAAGCAGGGCATAAGTGAAAGAATAGACTTAAGTAATTTGGACACAATTCTAACAACATTTTAAAGTTTGATTTACAAAAAAAGAATTTATTAAACATTCAGAGATACCAATTGCTCCAGACACACCAATAAATGATGGTAAATAACAGCAGACTAAAACTGGCAAATATTTGAGTAATTCTGTTTGCTCTTCAAAAGGTTTACCACTACATAACTACAATAGAGTAGTGAATAATATAACCCTACGATTTATTTAGAAATAGTGGTGGATAAAAATCTACTAATATGTAATTATTAAACCAAGATTCATAATTCCTAAACTGCCACTCGAAAATATTTATTCGCTGACCGGAGCAAGTTACTATAACAAGGCTCTACTTCAGCAATTCGTACTGAACACAATTAAAAGCAAAGTTAGTCAGATAAGAACTTAATCATGATACTTTCTCTGGCAATGGACGATGCACCAACGTACTAACTCTAATATTTAGGCTTGAGTGAAAAAAGTGTATTGGATAAAGATATTGTGAGAATATTATCTCTTTTACGTACAAATTTTATTTATAACACTAACCTCAACAACAATAACATTTAAGAAAATAAAACAGCATAAGAATTAAAACATTTAAAAATATCATCAATGGTAGAAAATGAGAAATTATTGTCATGCATGTACCGCCATTCCAAATGAAAAGGCAAGACGCAAAAATCAATAAGAATCTTGAAAAGAAGAATATTAGTATATATTCAAAGCAGAAATTTTTGTTACGAAAATTCACTGTTTTAACTAATGAATTGAATAATTACATTAAAATTTAAAATTTACCTGAAAAACGTGTAACAATCGTTGACGATCACCAGGAATTGAAGAGTATTGTTGAGTTGTAAGGAGAACTATTGCCAACTTTACTAATAGTTTATTTAAGACATTGCTCGCCTCAAAAACAAACATAGATGGCGCGAGTAACAGTATTAACAACAAAAATAAACAATGGGGAACTTTTTTAAAGCTTGAGCTGTCTTCTCTTTTTATTCTTCAGATTATAGTATTTACAAATTTTTTTTTCACTAATAACCCTTTTAATTTAATTTAACATAAATGTCAATTCACTACTTTTAAGCAACAAAATTTATACGTAATCGGTCGAATACTTTTTGTGATTTCAAAATAATAAATATAATAGTTTTTTCACATAGCCATTAAACTTATTAATCAGAATACTTTCTGCATTAAAAGATAAATAAGTTCTAATCAAGAATACTTTTTTAATTACAAGTAATCATATTTTTGTACAAAATTTAAATGCATATTTTGCATTGTATTTAATTTAAATATTTACTATTGTATAAATTTAAACATATATTTAATTTTTTCATCATTTATTATTGAGATGAATACTGTAGTTTTTAAAAAGAATGCTTTTCTTATAGCATCCAACTCAAGTAACGCAAAGTACTAGTGAATAATGGTGGAAAATTTTCCAAAATAATATTCTCCTAACTTTTTTTTTACGATATTACATCACGTCAAAGGTCACATTTTTTCTAATAATTTGCGAATGTCATAAAGATAAGATTAAAATTCGATGGATATTTTTCAGTAAAATTTGATTAATTTAGATAATGTTCCAACATAATACCCTCCAAATTCTCTTTTGCAATATTATTGAGATGTCCCGACCGGACGCTCAGCTGTATTACTTGACTATTATCATTTAATCACTTGCCTTAGTATTGTGGTTGTTAATGTAAATCTTTTGTTTATTATTTACACTAATTTGCTTTGAAATAAACCGTATTCCTATTGGTTGCCACTAATAATTGATTGATCATGATCATTGATAAACTTAGAGTAGGCAGGTAAATGGCGCGACATCAGCTTAGAAATTTTATCCGTTGTTTTTCGATATTCTGCAATGTTAAATGTATCTTCTAATAATATTCTATCAATCTCTAACATTTAATCAATATTTTAAAGATATTTAGATGACGTATGTCAAATATTTTACAGACTTGTCTAATATTGTACTGTATCTGCTTTATATACTTATTATTCAGATCCGAAAGTTGCCACCGAAAATTAGGATGTCTGATGACAAGAGCATTACAATGATTACAACAAAATTGCTTCCATGCGACCGGGGACTAGGCAAAGTTTACCACCATAGCTGGCTTTTCCACACAATTAATGAACCTCCACCTTGCTTAGATGAAACCATCGTTTTCACGCTATTTCAATAATGCTCAAAACCCCCTGGACTCTTCAAGTTCTTTTTTTTCCACTTTCCTATGCTTTTAGATAGCTTTTAACTTGGGAAACTTCTACATCGCGAAATGCTTGTATGATATGAAAAACGATATAAGTAAATGAGAAAAAAGAAGAATTCTTATTCATTGAGCAGCAAGGTGGAGGAAATGGTTTGAGAAGGCTATATGTGTAAACTTAAAATTAGTATCTACTGAAAATTTAAATTTTCAGTTAGTAGCCAGTGGAAGGTAGACTCTAGTAAAATAGTGGGCACATTTCCATCAAACCTAATGATTCGGCGACTGATACCAATACATTATTTTTTTTTAATGGCTATTTTTTGAATTTTTTTTTGCTGGGATTAAATGATATTTTTACAAGGAAAAAAAACAAAATCATATTAAAAATAATCTACGGCTATGAAGAATTTATTCAGCAATAAAAATAAAATAGACATGTTATTAAATTTAGCTAAACATACTGACTTTAAAGAATATTTTTTCAAATGTTTTTGCAAGGCAAAATACATTTAATATAAAAATTACAACTTTGAAATATGTGAATTAAATTATTTCCTTCCACATGACTCTTTCCATCACAAATTGCTGGATTCTAAGAAGACAAATTTTTGAATGGAGACATTGGACATTTTAATGAAAGTTCTGCTTTTCAGAGTCTTTATGCATTGATGTGCTTTTATCATTGAGAAATTTTAGTAAAAAAATAAATAATAATAATAAATAACACATGGTATCGATCACATTTCAAATTTTATTTTTCAATTTCGGCTGTAGGTTTTAATGTAATGTAAACATAATAATAACAATAGTTAGCTGTGCATTTATTTTGATAAAAAAATATGAAAAATAAGCATAAAAAAAGAAAAAAAAAGTAATTATATAAAGATATTTCATCAGCTGATCTAAAATGTTTCAAATTTTAACCAAAATGTGTGATGTCACTCTTCTTGGTACTCCTCCTTCCCCCCTTGTCATAAAATATCACAATTTTAAGGAACTCCTTTCTCTCCTCCGAACATGAGATTATCTATGGATGAACCCCGAAGACTGACACTGCACACAGTTGCTCAAACCTCTTAAAAAATTCAGGTAAGTATGAATCAATAATTCCTTTGAATCCGAAAAAATTAATGAAAACGAAGCAATAGTTACGAATGAACTCTAGATTTCTCCATTCAGGAACGATATATATTTACCGTTTGTCGCTAATTCGTAAGTAATAAAGTTGAATTCAAAATTTCATAGTTATTCGAATATTCAGTAATCACTGTTAGAGCTGATCAACGTATAAAGTTGAATTCAATCTAAAACGGAAAATTTTAAAAGGCCAGTAAAAATCCTGCAGTATATAGCATTAATCTAGTTTATTTATGTATTTTTTTTTACCCGAAATCTGCGAAATGTTTGAAAGAAAATTAAAGATGACAGCAAAATATAAGAAAATTTCTCTAAAGAAGAAACGTTTTCCAGATTTTTGTTCCGATCCTTTTTCTTTCATTTTCTTTTTCTTCAAGCAAATATTAATTTATTTGGAAGATTGATGACGCTGCTGAATTGAATATTGAGATGATTTCTGTAATTCAATAATATGAACAAAATAAGGAAAATGACAGAAACATCGATATTTAAAATTTCGAAGAAGTTGCCAACATTGACGGTATAAGATGAACACGAAACGATTTTAAAGATATTAAGTGATTTAAGCTTTTTTTAAATTACCCATTAACAAAATGGGTCTTGGTTTGGATTTCATGGCGTCCTCTCTTTTCAACTGCAATAATCAAGAGTAATAGTAAACAGTGCGCATGCGTTGCTGCGGCGACCGCTGCTGTTTGATAATTTTTTTAGAATTCTCTTTTTCACCCTTTTAATTTTGTTATGCATTAAGGTGGTGAGTTTATTTTTGAGATATGGGACTAGAGAGATCCCATTAATACTTCTTGAGTTGTGAATAAAAGATAGTTTCATTATTTGAACGATATTTTTGTTTTTATTGTTTTAATTAAGAATCAGAAATTCTAACCTAGAGTTCAAACTGGATCGTTTTCAATACTAATTCAGGTGAATATCACAAATAAAGAGGGTCCAAACTGATTGACACGGTCCCAAAAGTTAAAGGTGAAAAAAAAAAACGATGCCAAGGCCTAAACTTACCGAGGCTGAAAAAGCCAAAGAACGTAGACGGGAATACCTTAAGCGTTACACACAAACGAAAAAAAGAAATGATTCCGTTCGCAAAGGTAAGCAGGAAGCCCGTCCCTCACAAAAGTACAAAATTGGTTGAGAGAATTGAACCCTACCGAAGAGTAAATGATGACTCTCCGAACATCTTTCGTGCAAATACGAGAACTGGGTGTTGATCACCAGTTAGGGTTAAAAGGATCCGTTGTCAACGTACCCAATAACTTGCACAAGACCGCGTAGACTGTCTTCCACGCAATATAAATGATTCATTCACTATTCATGTAAAATTGAAAAAAAGCTTCGCTTTCAAATCATATTTCATGTATGAACTTGTGAATCCGAAACGGGTGTATGATGCAGCTTGCAATCTCCATCAGACACCATTGTACCAATCCGAAAATGTTAATATTGATCACAATTGTCTGTTCAATGTCTATTCAGTCATCAAGAGAATTCACACAGAATGTGTCTGAGCTGTATTTAAATATGTCTGCGAACTTGTGTACTGAGCAGTTCAGGATTAACAGTTAAAGATGTCCAAGATGAAAACACAATAAAGTTCCTTTTCCAAAAAAAATTAGACAACAACCATTTTGCCAATGGGTAACCTGTGATCGCCGCAAGGCGATCACAATTTTCTTCATTTTGTAGTGAATCGTATTTTTTATTTATTTATTTATTATTTTAATCCAAAAGAATACGTAGAAGCGTAAATACTATCGTGGATTTGCAATACACTACTTTAACCAAGGGCTTCGAAATTACAATCAATGAAAACCAAAGATAAGAAAAAATATTAAGCCTTTTATTAAAAAAAAAAAAAAAATCGGGCAATTTTTCAATTGCGTTAATCAATTTGAAGCAAAATGTAATGCATGGATATCAAACGATAATGCTTTTAACTATTTGGACATAATGATGTAAATAATATTGTTACAAATGATAATGATAAAAAAGAGATCAGATGATTATTTCCTAATTTACCCTAAATTTATATTTCCTAAAAGTAAAGATTATAATTCTGTATACCTAAGGGAAAAAACACTGCAATTTGCGAGCGAAAAAAAAAATTATGCACTCCTGAAAGTTAATGTTAAAAAAATATTTATTCAAATACTATATATGGGTGATTCTCACGAAGCATGACAATTCGGATCAAAAAATTTCTTCAAAATTAAAGTCTTCAAAATAATCAAAATTTTTTTTGTTTAGGTACTTCTTTAGCTACACTTATTAATATCTTATAGACAGCAGTGTAGTTTATTGAGATTTGCTCGAGGAAAAAAATAAAATAGAAATTCTTCAAATCTTGAATGCCAGGAAAATGACATATTAGCTTAGAAGTTTAAAAAACAGTCATTTTAAGTTAATAGTAAGTAACTCAACTTAAGCCTTTATGTTAGATGGACCATAAATTGCTTAAATTAATTATTTTGATCTACTGTAGAAAGAAACAAAAAATTTTTTGTTGCTGATATGTACAGAATAAAATTGTGTATAATAATCAATCATTAAATAAATAAATACATTTGATTACATCCACTCATATTACAATCATGCATAAACTTGGTATTAGGTTAATATTTGCTTTTCTTCCTTACAGTATTAGCAGTTAAAAAGAATTTCTGGTAACACTTCAATGTCCTGGCATTCATAAGCCAGGAAAATGACAGCCAGGATTATGACAAATTCGCCATTTTATAGCATATAACTTTACTTTAATTTAATATTTTGGCCGAAGACGTTTATA